ATAGATTTTACGAACATGAATGTTTTTATGAAAATTTGAACCCTACCGATCATGTATTGGAATAATCATTTTAGTGATATTATTTATTCCCAATAAATAAGTATTGTTTCAATTGTTCCTTTCATCGTTGCAAGTGCATATAATTTAATTTAATTCAATTCACGAATTGTAAGACATTGTAGAAGGTAGAAGAAAACAAGCAAAATCAAAATAATTTATTGGGAAAAAAATAAATCATTTATTTAACTTCTTTCAATCATTTCAATTCTACAAATATGATATGAACCAAATCAATTTTGTACTAATCTAACTATTAAAAAAACATTTCACATGCACAAATCATCTTAATCACTATATTTTGTCTGCAATTTTGGTCAATCAACCAAAAGACACAAACAAAAAAATTATGAATATTATTGATAACGGAGGAAAAGATTATAATTTGGGAATGTGATGTCGAAATAACTATTCTTGAATGATACAAAACTATAAAATTTTTCTTTCCTAGTTTAGCTGATGGGAGATTAAATTAATGCTTAATTACATTGTTAATTAATTAATCGCCCTTTTGACTTAAAGCCCATCCTTTTTGAAATTTTCAACTTTCCCTTGGCATGGGTCCATCCAAACCGTAGGCCAGGAATCAGTCATTTTGCCACGTGGAACCTTAAGGAAAAATCTGTGACGACATGGGCCAGCTTGACGTGACAAGTGTCGTTTTTAGAAGTATAGCTGGCATCGCCGGCTGTATTTTGTACGGTTTTAGTGGGTTCGGTTTCTTACGTGTCGTTAATGGGTCTCCCATGGTGTTTGAAGACCTAATAAAAATATGACGTAAATCTCACAAAAATCGATCATCAATTACGTAAGACTTTTTGGATGCGATTGATAATAAAATATATTTAGTTAGAAAGATAATAGATTAGAGGAAAGTCTTAATTAGAAGTGTTGTGATTAGTTGGATCGCATATTAATAATTTATATATTTATTTAAATTTAAGTTGATTTTATATTTTAGATTTTAAAATTTTTTTTCAACTTTAATTTAATATTTAAAAAATAAATTTTAAATTCATTTATTAAAATTAATTTATACAATGAAAATAAAAAAAAGTATTGTTTAAATAAATTATTAAAATAAATATTCACATATATATTTATATAATTATAATATTTTAATTATATATTTTATTTGATAAGAACTAATAAAACTTTAATTTTTTCATCCAAATTTTGATAAAAATTTTTTATCAAATTCTCTTAAAATTCAGATGAAACTTTGAACCTGAATAAGTAACCTAATTTTTAAACAGATTTAATGTCAGTTAAGTGAAACACAATTTAAAGATATAAAAGAGTTGTGAGAAGTTCACAAGATTGAATGTGCAGGCTGTAGCCTATAGAAAAAAGAAAGTGACGTTTAGATTGAGATTCTTGTATGTGAGTTGGGATAAATTATGTATATTTGGACTTGAATTGTGAGTTGAGTATTTAAATAATGTTAATATGTTAATGTGATTGTAATTTTTTTATAATTAATAAAATTTTAATGAATTTTTTCTTATTTACAAACATAGATAACTTAAAATTTGAATTACTTTAAATTATTACATTTTATAATGATCAATTGAGTGAATACACTTCTGCTTACTTTTATACTTATTGATTGAAGATTGGCGTGGTACCGGCCTATCGGAGCTATTATTGAATTGGGCGTTTGGCTTAACATGACCTGCACCAGTTGATTTAAAAATAAATTGGATAATCTAAATTATGTTTTAATGATATGATATAAATATAATACAAAAATAACATGATTTAAATTTATTATAATAATTATATATAAGTTTAATAAAATTAAATTAAAAAATTTGAATCCAAAATTTCATTGTAATCTTAAAAAATGATAAAGTTGAAATGAATATTTTACAATTTATTGTTTAAAGATGATTTTATTTGAATCTAAATTAATAATAATAAATTTTTGTTTACAGAAAAATCATAATTTAAGCTTATTATTACCAACTGATGTGAAACATAAAAACGCTGATAACCATAAACAAGAAAAAGTATAAGTTCTTGTCTTTGCTTTCCTTGTTCTTACTTTTGAGATGTACAAGGGCCCTTCTGAGAATGTATTTTTACATCGACCAAAAAGACCAAGTTATTTCACATCAAACCCAAATGTGAAAAAATAAAATAAATATACATAATTATCAATAATTATGTGATATATTGATTGATTATTATATTTTAAATTTTAATAATTTTAAATATAAAAAATAAATATATACAATCAATTTAGGAGTTATTATTATATGTTTAATTTTGCCAATTTGCCATGCTTTATGGCGTCACATTTTGAATATAGTTGGCCTTTTATTTTTCTTAAATATAATAATTGTTCACTCGTTGCAAAAGCATAGTCCAAATATAATTTAAAAAATTCATTTTAAAACAAAAAATACGTATTTTATAGTTTGAGATAATGCAGAAAACATAGATGAAAACTTCTAAACCTTCGTAAACAAAACTCATGTCCAAGGTCAATCACATATTTACCATATAATAAATTCAAACATCCCCTCAATAAAATTATTATTATTATTATTATTATCCGTGACCACTTGGAAATTGAATCATTTTACAAGCAACACGGAAGTCAAAAAAACATAGCGTATGAAAGGAGGAAAATTTTCCGTTACACGTAAACTCAAAAAGCCAACAGGACACCGCAACTGACAAATTGAAGATAGCCGTTGATGTGAGGAGAGCAAGAAACGCGTGCAGCCGAACCAAACCAAACTAAAGTACAAAAAAAAAAAAAAGTAGTTCTGTAATTTAAAAAAAAAAAGGCAAAGCTAGCCTCTATTAGAGATAATGCGGTCGCGCAGGCTGTATAACCTCACGCGGGAGCGCGGGGAGCGGGGCCCTTACCATCTTTCTTTTTCGAACCAGCGCCGACGATCCAGCAGTGCAGGACGTGACACGTGGGTCCCGTAAAAGGCCCAAACACTGGCTTGATTGATATCGTTTTCGTCGCGTTGATGGGGCTCAAATGGGTGGGACCCATTTTTTTAATCTCATCGTTCTCAAATCCCAAAAGGGGTAGTTTTGTAAGTTGGACGATGATGAATCATTTATCATCTACATCAAGAAGCTGTGACGTGGACGAGTAACATGCATGGATCTTTCGATCTAAGCACATCTAAACCGCCTTAGTGGTGCTTTTATGTCTCGGAGTAAATGCTAGTACGATTGTAACGCATTTCTTAAATTCTTTGCTTAATGCATGTGTGTATCTCTTTCATTGTTCATTCTCTTAATTACCCTTCTTCCCTCATTTTTTTTAATCAATTAAGAGTCAATACGAAATCTGTCATTCATCAACTTAAATTGTAAGTACATTTTTTTTAATACGACTAAGACTTGCATAAGTTTTGTCTGGATTTATCTTTTTCTTCAATTATTTTAAAAGTGACTTGGGTTACATCAATTTAAATGTGTTCAATATTTTATTCTTAAGATAAGTCTCACCAAGATTTAATTTGGGTTGATAAAAAAAAAAAGAATTCCTTTCTTAACAATGAATTAATCTTTTATGGATTAAATTATAATTGATTAATTATAAGTAACATACTTTTATTTTATAAAGAGTTAGCATTTAAAATTGAATTTCTTATAATTAAATGGATAATTAATCCTTTAAAATTTTTAATTCTTTTTTTTAATCTTTAATTAAATTTATTTTTTTAAATAAAGTTTATGAAATAAGGGATAATTATTTTCATTTTCTAAGTTTACATTTAATGATTTTCTTGCTTTAAATATATGAAACCCTTTTCTATTCATATCTACAAACATTAACCTTTGCTTTTTACATGATTTAAAATATATTAATAGTATTCAGCGATTTAAAAAAAAAAAAAAAAGAACTTTTCTAACCAATTTTAAAAAAGTAAATAGTTGACTTATAAAAATGATCTTTTTGTTTTCTAGGATCCATTAACAAAAGTATAAATCAAAGTTGAGACAAGTGTTTATTAGTGTTGTTGTGATTCAAAATATTTTATTAACCCATCCATGCATTGAGGTTAAAACGCAAAATGGATTCTTTTGGCATGGATGTCTCTCATAATTTGATCTATATGCAACCAATAATTGGTTCTGGTTGGAAGCGGTTGCATGATATATTAGTTCAAGTGTAAGTTTTCAAATATATAGCGGGAAAATGTCAAAACCCAGTTGCTTCAAATAGATTACTTCGAGTGTAAGTATTTGAATTTGTTATTTAATTTAATTAATTTATATAATTATTTTGTAAGATGGTATTTAAATTTTAATATTTATAATTTATTTTTATTTTTAAAAATGACTTTCATATTAGGATTGAGTATGACTTATTTTGAAAATTCAAAATTTCAAGCTCAATTAAAATTTATTTTTATATTTAAAATTGATTCATAATTTAATTAAATTATTTGAATTTAATTTAATAAAATTATAAATATTTATATTGAATATTATATTTTTATTTATTATTTATATATATTAAATATATTAAAAATAAAATTTAAATTAAACTTATAAACCTCTCAAATTAAATATTAAATTATTCAAATTATTATTTAAAAAACTTAAACTTCAATAATAAATTAATGAGATTTAAAATTTTTAAATAAATCAAATATCTTTTGAATAACTTCGCCCGTTTACACGTTTAATGATGACACCAATCGCATGAACGGCTTTTAGTTTTAAAAAGTAAAATTCAAATCCTAACTATTTTAAAGAAACAAAAAGTCTATGGCTCAGGAAAAGTGAAAAAAGAGGGAATTGACTCTCCACCCAAAAAATATACAGTGATTCCACGTGAATATAGAAATTGAAAAAGGTTGAAATAGAAATGTAAACAAAAGAAAAGAGGGTAGCAAAGTAATTTGATAGAGCGTCACTGACAGTTCATTTACGACGAGAGTTCCCTGATTTGACAATTTGAAGAAACAAAAACTACTCCACCATCTCAGATTAAAGTTAAACTAAAATTTACGGTTCGGCGTCTCTCATTCATATCCCACCACCAAAAATTTATGTTCCAATTACTAAAGTGAAATTTTCACTGCATTCTCGTGATAGCAATAGGCTACCGCCGGAATTTTTTTTCTCCGGTCAATACTGGCCGGAAATGACTCCTCCACCGACATCTTTTACATTATTTGAGCTTTGAATTTAAATTTTGTTGACAATTATTGATAGTTAGACATAATCAGGGTTTTGGGTGACATTTGCCTATTTTTATATGTGGGTTTGTTCAAGTGTTCTTAACTTTAGTTAAATGGGGATGGGGATGGGAATGGGATTCAAAGAGAATAAAGTCGGGCTTCAAATGAGAGAGAAATGAACATAAAGGATGATGGAAAAATATAAAAAAAAACAGGGAGAAAAAGAGAGAGAATCTGGTGGGCTTTGCCTTTGAGCTGTGATTTAGCTGTCTTTTTGGTAAATTATTATTGTTTATTGTCTCTCAGAGACTATCTCTCTCTCTCTCTCACACAAATCTCCAAAATCCCTATTAGAAAAAACCCACCTCACGGCTCATCCTTTTTCTCTCCCCTCAAGCTCAAAATCCCTATATTTTCTACCTTTCCTCTCTCCACATTTTCTTCCTTAGATCTCAGAGTGAAACCACAAACATTTCTGCAGAAACCCCATTTGCAATCGAAGCTTTGCAAGAAGTAAGAGAGTGAGTGAGAGAGAGAGAGAGGCAAGAGCCAAGGCAGAGGAAAAAAAAAGAAAGAAAAGAAAGTGGCATTTGTTAAATCAGATGTCTCATGTGAGATGAAGAAGACTCACATCAAGCTCCATTCTTCTCATCTCTCACTCCTGCTCATCGCACTCTTTATTGGCTTCTGTTCCTGTGAGCAGCATCCCATTTCAAGCCATGGAGGCCTCACTGACCAGGAAGTCTCGTACATCAAGCAGCGCCAGCTTCTCTACTACAGAGATGAGTTTGGTGATAGAGGGGAAAGAGTCACAGTTGACCCATCTCTTGTTTTTGAAAACCCAAGGCTTAGAAATGCTTACATAGCTCTACAAGCTTGGAAACAAGCTATTCTTTCTGACCCTTCCAATTTCACAGGTGATTGGGTTGGATCTGAAGTTTGCAGTTACACTGGGGTTTACTGTGCTGGTGCACCTGATAACAAGAAAATCAAAACCGTTGCTGGCATTGATCTAAACCATGCTGATATTGCTGGGTACTTGCCAGAGGAGCTTGGTTTACTCACCGATCTTGCATTGTTCCACATCAACTCCAATCGCTTTTGTGGTACTGTTCCACACAAGTTTATAAACCTGAAGATACTGTTCGAGCTGGATCTTAGCAACAACAGGTTTGCTGGTAAATTTCCTGAAGTGGTTCTGAAGCTGCCTTCACTCAAGTTCTTGGATCTGAGGTTCAACGAGTTTGAAGGAACCGTACCAAAAGAACTTTTTGACAAAGACTTGGATGCCATTTTCATCAACCATAACCGCTTCAGATTCAACCTTCCTGACAACTTCGGCAACTCCCCTGTTTCGGTTATTGTCCTAGCCAACAACAATTTCCACGGATGTGTGCCGTCGAGTCTTGGTAACATGACAGGCCTTGAACAAATCATTCTCATGAACAATGGTTTAAGATCTTGTTTGCCTGAGGAAATCGGGTTGCTTAGAAACTTGACTGTTTTCGATATTAGCTTCAATGAGTTAATGGGACCTTTGCCGCAAAAGATTGGAGAAATGTTCAGCCTTGAGCAACTCAATGTGGCACATAATATGCTCTCTGGTAAAATTCCAGCCGGAATTTGTCAGTTACCGAACTTGCAAAACTTCACATTCTCGTACAATTTCTTCACCGGAGAGCCACCGGTTTGCTTGAGCCTGAAAGATTTTGACGACCGTAGAAATTGCTTGCCTGCAAGGCCTTTGCAAAGGAGCGCGGCACAATGTAAGTCTTTCTTGTCTAGACCAGTGGACTGCAGTTCATTTAGATGTGCTCCTTTCGTTCCTTCTTTACCTCCCCCTCCTCCACCTTCTCCGCCAATACCGGTGCCCTCACCAGTTTTGGTGCCTTCACCTCCACCTCCATCACCCATTTATACTCCACAATCACCACCGCCGCCGCCGCCTGTATACTCTCCACCTCCTCCACCTCCACCACCAGTTTATTCACCTCCGCCCCCACCACCTGTTTACTCTCCACCTCCTCCACCATCACCACCACCGCCCTCCCCTCCACCTCCGCCCCGACCACCACCAATTTATTCACCTCCACCTCCTTCGCCACCACTACCATCATCACCTCCCCCGCCTTCACCCCCACCACCTACTTATCCATCACCACCTTCACCATCACCCCCACCGCCTTCACCAACTCCTGCACCTCCATATTGCGTGAGGTCCCCACCTCCTCCACCAAATTCACCACCTCCATTGTTTTCCCCACCACCACCAGTTCCTTACTACTACAGTTACCCACCACCTCCATATTCTCCACCACCACCACATTCACCTCCACCACCAATTTATCCATACTTATCGCCGCCGCCGCCGCCACTGCCACCTCTAGTACACTCTCCACCACCACCATCACCTCCGCCATGTATAGAACCACCTCCACCTCCACCACCGTGTGTAGAGTACTCGCCACCACCCCCAACTCATTACAAGCCACCCCCATCACCTTCTCCTCCACCAACTCCAGTTTATAAATCACCACCGCCACCTGTTGTAGCATATTCCTCTCCGCCACCACCACCAGTTCATTACCATTCACCTCCACCAATTATTTAAGAAAGCCCGCCACCTCCAGTTCCTGTGTATGAGGGGCCATTGCCACCGGTAATTGGAGTGTCGTACGCTTCACCTCCACCACCACCCTTCTATTGATTCTTTTGGGAATTTTACTCCTCTAACCTTTTCCTTCTTCACAAGCCCCAAAATAAATGTTCACAAAAATTGCATTAGGCCATCACCATGGCTTCTTTTTCCTCTTCTTTGCACTTCATTACGACCAAAAAGATCTCTTCTTTCTCTTTGGGAGCAATTCTCGTCGCTCATGGAAGGGATTGATAAAAAGTCTACCACTTTCGGAAACTATGGGATGGAACTCTTCAATGAATGTTATTGAAGAGGGTGGAAAGAAGAGAGAAAGAGTAATTGACAGAGAGAGAGAGAGGTAAGAGGAGAAATTCTCTCCCATATTTAATTGAATTGCTATGGATATTTGGAGTTGTGAAATAAAAATGGCAGAAAAAGAGAGAGTAGGTTGCAGAGAAAGTTGTATGTATAGGGACGAATTTGAGGAACCATAATTATCCAGCCTTACAAAGGCAGCGGCTGGCAACACTTCCTTCCTGCTGCTGTTGCTGCTGCTAGTTTGTGGGTTTTATTGTTATTATTCTCTTCTTTTTTCATACTTTTGTTTCTTTTTTGATTCTCATTTTATAGTATAATCGGATGAACATTTTACTTGTATTCATGATTTTCCAGAATTCAGTTATTCGTTTTCTATTCACTATTATCAATCGTTGTTATCAGTTGTTTCTGTGTTGAGTTTGATTGATGCATATCACCAATGCTTTCATTTTTTTTTTGCATATTGGTTGATCGTTTCCTTCATATTTTCATAGCATTGCGCAGAACAAGTTCATTACTTGATTGTCGGTGTAAGATTAGGTGATATTGAAAGAATAGTTGATTCATACGAGTTAGATTCTGAATGAAAAGAATAGTCATTCGAATCAGGAACTCCGTGAGGATAATAGTTTTGAATAGCCAGTCCCCTCTTTAAGAAAAATTTCCTGTTTTGGTTGCCTGTAGTTCCAGGATTACAGGTAAAATATTGGGGAGATTGGATGAAAGGGGAGGTGTTTCGGATCCCTTTGTTGTCTCCGATTGATTTCATCCAAGTCCTGAATTTTCGATCGAGGCGACGGGTGCTAATTGAGATCTTTAGTGGGACCCTCCCCTTAATTGGTGGTAGACTCAATCTGTAATCAACTTTGATCATTTGATTAATGTTGTTGGGATTTAGTCCCATGTGCAAACCTCTTAATGATGGATTTGAAATTTCGAATGCAAATCAGATTTCTTCATGCTCACACTATTTTTCCCTTTGGAATCTGGAATTGAAAAGTCCAACTCCTTATATGCAACAATTGGTGGCTAGAGTTGTTGACTGTTGCTGTTGTCCTTGTTCCTCCACATATTTTCTCAACATTTTTGCAGAAACTTTTCCAAGCATCCCCACTTGGTATTTCTTTTTCCAGGGACCATTTCTTGATGCCTCAATTTCCTAGCACATGCAACCATCTGAAAGCGCTTGGGTCGCAACTGTTATGAGTCCCATGGAATGTGAATGATATGAAATGTAATGGTCTATCAATCAAAATCGGTACCAAAGCACATTTGCCATCGTAATTAACTAGATTATGACAGGCAGAAGAAAACCCTGTATTATTTTACAAATATCAGTGTCCAAAATAAGTTGATGCCAGGCTGCAACCGCGGCAGCAACATGCTAACATCATTGCCAAGCCCACTATTATCTATCAGTAGTTTCATCCATGGTGCCATTATCAATTGTAGCACAAAATTTGTCCCTCGGATTGAAACTTAAAAGCACATTTCTTCTTCTTGGATTCTGGACACATTCCACTCTGTTAAGAAACAATCTATCGTATTCCAAAGGAACCTACGTTGCCAAGTCTCTTTCAGGCAGAGAACTCATTTCTAAATGGTTGGGCAATTTAGGGCCAAGAGTACAAATTTTCCATGGCGGTTGCTTTCTTCCAAAAATGCGTTTTGTTTCCATTCATCAAGTTTTCTTTTGAGAATTGGAGAAAAGAACACCACTAAACTCCTGTCTGGCACTGACAGAAGCATGTGAATCACCACAACTGTTGCTTTTTTTGCACTTTTTATCACCCTACTTTTAATTTTTATTTTGCCCAAACCCCTACTTTTAAAATTGGAGAGGGTCGTTTTGGCCCATAACTAAGTAATGTTAAAGCAAAAAGAAAACTTTCACTAGTCTAAATCAGAATTTTGCTTTTTCTTTTAACTGCTGAAACAATGGTATTTAATAAAAAGGAAAGATGCTGACTTTAACCATTCATTTATATTTTTTATACTACTTCAGCTACTGCCTTCGGCAAACTCTTCACCTATATATACAATTTTCCTCAATGTGTATTATTATGTCTGATTTTTAATATTTGAGACAGTTAAAAATTAAATTTTAAGCATTAAAATTAAAAATTCAATTACATGGCTGTGGGCTTATTTTAAGGGAATTACTCTTGTGATTTTTTGGCCTTAGAGCAGAATTAAAATAAAGGGATTAAAAATATACACTGCTATTATACTTGAAGAATAATTAAAAGGGAGAATGGAATAACAAAAAAAGAAGAGCCAGCTGTTACCTTCCATCTCTTGATCTAATGATCAGGAGGCTTTGAAGAAAGTACGTGGGCGTTAATTCTAATCCGTTATCCTTTCCTTTTCTTACAAAGGTTTTGCCCTCTCATGAAACAAAATTACCCGGCTGTTGGAAAATAGCATGATTAGGTAGATGACCATAAAAATAATAAGAATAGTAAAAAAAATAAAAATAAAAAATTTAGGAGTGAAATCATCCTTTTTTCATTAAGTGTGATTGTGAGATATTCCCATATCAAGAAGAATCCATTATCCATTAAAGCAGTGGTTGAATGCAGGAACCCTTTCCATAAGGCAATCTAAGGTCACTTTCAAGGGACTGCCACTAAAAATTTCATAACCTTGCCAGTTTTGAGCTTTGAATTTTATTCTTAAAATTTTTTTTAAGGTAAAGCCAACAACATGCCTTCAACTTGTCCAATTTCCATTTGCAATTGAATGATAAGATGCAAACATATCCCACCAAAAGATAGTCAAGTAGGCCATAAAAAAAGAGGGCCCTACTAAAGGTGATAGTCACATGGGCTGTAAGAGCATTGCACATCGGAAACATAATGCAAAACTTAAATGCCCAAAATCAATTTTTATTTTGCTTCAAAAATGGGACATAACTATCATTTACTTAGGGGTGGTGTTTGTGTTGGACAGGCTGTGATTAGGTCACATGTATTAATGGTGTATTATAAAGTCATGGTTATAAAAATGGGTCCCATCAGCACCAGAAAAAGGAAACTGGGGATTGGAAAAAGAATAACCTTAAACTAATTAGGGATTTTCTCTACCAAATCCCCCAATGATTTGAGTCCTCCTTACAGTAATCCTTTGCCCATGCTTCTTCCCAGCCAAGTATTGTTAAAAACAAACAAATGCTTACAAATGGAAAACCATATGCCACTCGGTTAAATAATGCATTTATAGTAATTTATGGACTTTTTCTACGATAATTATAAAAAGATTCCAACAATTAAAAGAGCAATCAATCATTGATTTAAAAAATATATTTAAAATCAATTATAATTCATCGTCATTATTTTTTGCATATTATCTAAATCATCATATAAATAGAAATTTTTTGTACCCTTTCGGACTATTCAAAATATCAACAATATAACCCTTGAAATCTTTTTCTTATGAATGTAAATTACCGTGGTCGAATCACGTATTCTTACTTTCTCTATTGCTATTTTTAATTCATAAATTATTATTGTTTGAAATTTAACAGCTTTATATAGGAATATATTGAAAGAGGATATGTATCCTACGAGCATCTTAGATTAGTTGATAAGTGGGTGGCCGAAACTGATTCAAGCGGATTTGCCTAGTTCTAGGCATTCTTTTTGTTTAAGAATATATACACATTCCCAAACCCAACATTTTTTGGACCACTAAATTTTAGACAAAATTTATATAAAATCTTTTAGTTGAAGTTTATGAATTTTTTAAAAATAATTTAATAAAAATTTAAAATTCAAATCAATGATTGATAAATTTTAATATGAAAATTAATAACATGTAAAAAAATATTTAAAATATTATTTTTAATTTAAATTTGATTGATATGGATTCAATAATAAAAATTGTCAATATTTTATTAAAAATATCTATTTAAAAATATATTTAAAAATTTATTAAATTTTTTTAAAAAAATTTTATATACTTAATTTATATAACAAAAAATTTCAATCTATCAATTTTAGTTTTAATTTTTAATTTTTACTAAAAAAACTTATTGAATTTTACTTAAGGGCTTCGTCTAAGTTTTTCCCCTAAATTGTTGCAGTCGTGATGGGGTGTCGGCTTATTGTTGCAATAGTGATACCAAAATTAATTGCCCCTCTGAGAATATTTATTATATTGTAATTACTAAACAAAATCTGGGTCCCTATATTGATATTGTGAAGGGATTTGGGCCATCAATAATTTCATTAGGAGCGTTGGGTAGTCATTACTCATATCTACTTGTTTCTGCCTCATAAAGATAGATCCCTTGGTAAAAACCATGTTAAAAATGGTTCCGCTGATAATGGTACAAATGAATTCTGCCTTGAATTTGAAGTGAATTGTTGAGTTTTGTATCGCAATTTGAGTGATATCGATTTGGTTGATAAAATTACATAAAAAATTTTATAAAATAATTTAATGATGTTTATAACTCATTTAAATCATGTTTAATATATAATATGATGGATAATTATTTTATATTATATTTGATTTAACTATAATTGAAAGGGATAGAATTACAAAAAGTATTATCATCTTCTTGATATAGAATAATTTATGAACTTTTAAAGTGTAGAAACTTATTTTTAATTCATGATATTAAATTTATATATCTTATTATATCTTTAAAAATTACATCAATAATTTAAATTATATAAATTTTTAAAAAAATAATTTTGACTAATAAATAAATTATCTTATTTTAATATTTACGCATATAAAATATAAGATAAGATATTTAATCTTATGTAAAATATTATCTTATTTTATTATAATCTTATATAACAAACATAATTTTAAATTAATCATTTGTCGTCTTTTTTTTTTTTTATTTAAGGAAAAGGAATTTAAATTCCAACCACTGAATTAAATATTCAAATACTAATAATTTGTCTTTTAAAATGTTTTTCCATTGATCTCACCCAAACGTGCACAAATTCTAATAGTAAGAAGATGTGATGTGTTATTTGTGAACCATAAGTCCATAACCCTTTTACTTATTGAACACGTAGGCCTAGATAGAACCCAAACGCTTTGACAAGCTTATCTGACTATGAATTTAGGCCTAGTTAGCACTGACCCATTTGAGCCTATAGTTTTTTCTTGTTATCCAGCAGTGATGCTGTGCTGATTAAACTAGATGATAATCTCTTAGATTTGAGCCCAACCTCATTCAACCCAATTTAAATGAAAATTTCCCATGTAAAAAAGTTTGGACGAGCCTTCCTTTATTCAACCAAAGCACTCCGGCCGAACTCTCTCTGAGATCGACGCTCGAAATCTGCCCCACCCCCACCCAACTAAGATTCATGCCTTCACTCTCAAGGTTTCCATGCTTTTCGCTGCTTTCTTTGCTATTTGCTTAAATCTCTAAAAAAATTAAAAATGCATCTCTAATTATGAGCAATGAATAAGGACTTTCACGATTAAAGTGTTGTTAATCTTAGCTTTTAAGCCACAACGGCTCCTTGATTGACGTTATTTGAGTGATTTCAAACTTTTTTTTTTTTTTTTCTAATATAAAAACTATTTCGTGCACCATTAAACTTTAATAAATTTAAAGGATTGAAAATATATAAAAAATTAATATAATAAAAATATGACGCATTATAATTTAATTTTGATTGTCTATGAATCAATAATCATATTAAATAATTATCAATTTATATTTAATACACTGTTAGTAAATCAGATAATATTATTTAATTAATAAATAAATATTAATTTTAAAAATAAATATATAAAAATTTAATTTCTTTAAAAAAAATTTATTCATTAATAAAATGACCCCATCTAATTTATCTTATTAATAAATTGATATAATTTGATTCATTAATAGTATATAAAATTTTAATAATATTTTTTTATTTTTTAAGTATAATTTTCTAAATTATAAGATTTAAACAAGTATGGAATAGCCAAGCAACGTGATCCGAACATAGATGAAGAAAAAGTGAAGCATTTTCTACGACAGTGTTATGTTCCTAACAAACCGGTTGAAAGGGAGACTGGGACAGTTATGGTAAAAAAGAGCATGACAAAATATTTTTTGTCTCATTGCTTTTTTCAAAAGAGGTTAAATCGCTTATATTATATAGGTTTTAGGCCCTTACAATACTCAGGAAGTCTCTCCTAACAAATCTACATAACGTAGAAAGAATAAATTTAATGTCAAATTCAACATTATGAGCTTAAGTTGTTAGAAAATCTACATAAAAATTGACTTGTTGCTATTTTAGTATATGATACGTCTTCCTCTAAATTGAAAAAAAAAAAGAAAAAGAATGTTCTTTGCATTCTGTTATGATAAGGATCGTTCAATTGATGTATAGTGTGAATGAAATTCATTGTAAATTTAATTTTTATTATAAATGAAAGTATCATATAAAAAAAAATTTGATATTTAATTCAATTAATTTATATAATCATTATTAAAAAATAATATTCAATAAATTTAGAATTTAAATTTTAATATTTAGAATTTTTTTATTTTTTGTTTTCTTTATACAAAAAAATATATTATATTAAAAAAACACTCTTAGCTTCATTAAAATTTAAGCAAAAAAAAAAAAGTTTATAAAAACCCCACTCTAGGAATCTTTTATGCCTTATCATGAAATCATTCAGGCTTATTTTAGCTTTGATAATGCGTAATGAACCATTGCTCCTTTATTGAGGTTTTTTTTTTTTTTTAATTTATCTCTCTTTTTTAGAAATATAAAGATGTAGCATATTTGTATATAAACTAAAATAGTCGATTAGAATTTAAATTGATTAAAGCATCCCAAGTCTTAATTGATTTTGGGTTTAAATCCTACTCAATAAATAATCTGATCCAATGTACTATATAAATAATCATCTAATTATTGTAAGCAAAGGTGGACGGCCCTCTCAAAAATTTTTAACCTAATTTAATAAAAAGAAACTTGTGCACAACTTTACAGTAATAGCTCCTAAACTTTTCTAATCTAATTTAATTTGAAAATTTGTGGGAAATTAAGTAATTGCTTTAAAAACAAATTGATCAATAAGGTCTTTTTAAGGTTTGTGAAATAAGAATAAATCAAATGGATCGATTTAGAATTTGAATTTTTATAAATTTTAAATTTTAAAATTTTATATTAATAAATTAAAAAAATTATATGAAATAATTACGTCATGTCATTATATATATATATATTTTTTTCATTTAAATTATCTCACATAATTATATTATTAAAAAATTATTTATTTATTATAAAAATTTAATTAATTTATTAAAATAAATATTTACTATTTAATTATCATATGTAATAAATGATTAATTTTTTAATAATATAATTACACATCATGATGTAAATTAAAAAAAAAAATACTAACATTTTATACAAATTTTTCTCCTAATAAATCTTCTTTGATTATTATTAGATTTTTTGATGAATTATGACTACATATGGAAACAACAAGGAAAATATTTTTTTGAGATTGTGATTTTTGCGCACCTTTTTCTTTTATTTTCCTCGAAGAAGAATGATGAGAAAGCTATTGTATTTTCAATTTCTGATATCTTCATCAACAATTATTACAGCACAGCTTCAATGATTACTTGCGGTGGATTTGCCAAAAATATATCATAAAAGCTACAACATGCCCCTCTAAAAGGTAGCAAAGAATGACATATCTAACTTTACTCGAATAAAGTGACCCCTGTCCTTCACTTTTTCTCACCAAATCAACAGTCCTTAAATTAACTTTGTAAAATCCTGGTAAATTTCAAGATTTCACTTTTAATTTTTCTTTTGCAAATGTTTATAAGCATTACCATCATTGAAATTAAATCTAGATTTTTGCTTAGGGAAGTTGGCAGCCAAACAAATTACTTGAACCAATCAAATCCCTTATTCTTGAAGCAAAATTTAAACAAACGGCTTTAGACCAAGAGTTTCCCACAATGTTTTTTTCTTTTCTTTTCTCTATAACCAAACGATGACAGTTTTTTCCTTTTCTTCTCTATCTAACCAAACAATGACATGGGATTTTTTGTACAATAATTCCTTGAACATCATTGTCTTAGGCGTGCATGCAAAATCTCTGTGCCTTTGAGTGAAAACATCAATGATTCAATCAACTTTCTGTTGTCATTTGCCCACTTTCTCAACCAACTCGAATGTGTCCATCTTAAGCATTTCCAATTTTAGTTAATCCAAATCTTTTGTAATTAATCAAATTCAAAGTACGAATACTTTTATTTTCCTATCACATTTTTATTTATTCGACGTAATCATAATAATTATTCATATGTATTTAGAACAAAATTATTAATGATCAAGACCTCATAGTTTTATTCTAATAATTCGTATATTTTTATCATATATATTTTCTGTAAAATATAAAATTTATTTTTTATAATTTATATTAATATGTTAAATATAAATATTTTTAATTTTTTATTAAATTTATATGATTTTTGCTATATTTTAAATTTGGTTCGTATTTTTTTATGTGTGTTTTGGTTTGGGATTAAAAGTACCAGGGACGCTATAAAAAGCTTACAGTGGGAGCAATGAAGAAAAGCAGGGAGCAATGAAGGACAAACTCCAAAAGCAATCTCTCTCCTTCTTTCTTTATTCTTCCTAAAACCGTTTTGAAACAACCCCAAACAAATTAAAAGAAAAAAGAAGAGAAAGAAATCGCACAATCTCTCTTTCTTTGCGTTTCTCTCTTCTTCTTTCTTTCTCTTTTTTTTTTTTTTTCCTTCTGAGAGGGAGAGAGCTCTTCTTTGCAGAAACGTTTCTGTTTCGGATCATCAAGCTTGGGGCCAAACTCATTTGCAGGTACATTCGTTTCTTCAAAGATTGCATTGTTGTAACTTTATGATTCTGAGGTTTTAGCCTTTCAAAGCTGTAAACTTCTATATTGGTTTAATTTTTTATGGAAAATACAACAATTTTTGAAACTCATGCAAATGATATATAACAAACAAATGTTTCAAATTATGAAAGAAAATTTATTGATTCTTTCTCTTTCAAGTTTCCTTCATTTCACACCATTTCTCCTTTGTTTTTTTTTTTTTTTTGCAGAATATTTGTCTGTGTTTTTTCTTAATATTCTCATCTAATACGTTGAACTTTACCAACGTTAGCAGAGAATCCTGGTAGTAGTTTTGTACTTTGAAACATCATTTGACTGTGTAAACATAATCTTACATGTTGACAGCATTACCCCTGTTTTTAACTGTAAAACCCATGAAACCACCACAGTAGGAAGGGTGGAATCGTCCCAAAGAATCAAACACTGTTTGTTTCTGTTTCCTGCTGTGGAAAGAGTTTTGTTTGACAAAGACTTGCAAGGGAAGAAAAAGATTGCAAAGATTCCTTTACTCATCTGTTAATCAATCTTGCACGCTTTTCCATGCAAAAAGAAAAAAAAAACAATTGTTCTTTTCATTTTTAGCAAAAATAAATTAGGATTCTTTATTGTTCTTGTAACTCATATTCGATGTTCATGTGCATGAACCCAAAAGATTCACTGCCAAAAATTATTTAAATCCAATGGTTTGGTATAAAGCCATAAAATTCTGAATAAAAGAAAAAAAGTTGGTACCTTGTCGTGCATTGCACGCAATAAACTGAGCTTTTGTTGCAACAGAAAGCTATTTCAGTTCACAAATGGGTTTCTTTGTGATTAGTTACTTTAATCAAAAGTTTAATTTAATCGCATGGAATTTTGGTAGGCTTTATTCTAAACCCAAATCATCAAAAGCCCAAAACCAATTTTCTTACTTGCACGATTTTCTATAATTTCACTTTTTTGACTTTCAGGTATCGATAACATGGATCCACAAGGACAAAACAATGAATCTATTAATGTTACTGTTATCTGATTTAATTTTTTTTTAATTTATTGCAGATAACAAGATTTCATTTTTTCAGTGAACCGGAATCTACAGGTTTTCTACTTTGTTGGAACATTGAGTCTGTAATGTGATGAAAAATGGAGAGTGGTGTAGGAAGTAACCTCAATGAGAGACATGGAGTTTTTAAGGATGAGTCCTGGTTTAGCCAGTTCAGGAATGGCTCTAATCCATGGATGGCTAGATATGTCTATGCATTGATCTTTCTAGTGTCAAATTTGCTGGCTTGGGCTGTCCGAGATTATGGCCACAATGCCTTCCCAGAAATGGAAAGTAAGATTGCTTTTTTACATCAACATTGTTTTGTGAGACATGCTGTTGGGTTTGCTTCTTGTTTGTCCCATTGATAAATGTATTACCCTAATGCATTTTGAATTTCAGTTTCTGGTTTGGCTAGAGCTTTATGATAATAACGTTAATAGGTACGTATATGGGAATGTGGTTGTAGAACTCAAGAATTGCCATGGTGGCCGTGGTTGTTTGGGCGCAGGAGGAGTCCTACGCGTGAGCTTGGGATGTTTTGTATCCTTGATTCATAATGATAGATTTTTTTTTTTTATTTGTTGACAATGATTGCATTCTGTGCTCAACAGTTAGATGTTGAATGTCAAATACCACAATGCTGAAGAGTAGGACCTCACAATGCTCTCTTGTCAAACCTTAAAAATGATGAAGAAAAAATGAGGAGCAACCATGAAACTAAAGAGTAACAAAATTTCAGTTTAATGACAAATTTTAAGAAAATTTTTTAACCTTTTTGGTACAAAGAAAGTGGTAGCTTGGGGATAGAGGAAAGGATTGAATGTGCTGAAATTTGATGCCACCTCTTAAGAGTGGCTGCACAAACCAAACTGAGCTGAGCTACGGGTTCAAAAATCTTCAACTTTAAAGTTTGCATAATTGCTACTTTATTCTGGAAAATACCTGTAAAGAAGATGACGTTTAGCCTAACTACATGTGGAATTATCATTATTGTGCTTCTTGATACATACAGAAAACATTACCTGCATTTGATCCATTCCAATGCATAAATGTGAAAAGCTTGGTTTCTACAAATTTATGTAGTTTCACTTTTTAGTTTTTTTATTATTTTGATTCCATTGCATTATTCCTTAATTTTATTGAAGGCATTCTATTTTGTAATGTTTGTTTCAACTGCTGGTACCCCAAGGTTGTACAATTGCAGAGACTCATGGCATTCAGGATGGTGGTCTGCAAAGATAGGCCTCTGGATTGCCTTGACAGTCACCTCCTTTTTGCTTCCTAGTTTCATGATACAAATATACGGTTCGTGTTCTATTTTCCAAAAATCTACCACCATTCTCTCTTTCCCCCATCTTTTAATAATTAATCCTAGCTAGGACTTTAGCACCAGTTTTTTATTTTGCTGTAGTTGGCATCAAATCTCTGATATGTTGTTCTTTTTCCTTTCGTTGCTCTTTTTGGCAGGGGAGATTGCGCATTTTGGTGCAGGGTACATCATAGATTCCTGTTATAAATTCATCTGTATAAGACATGTACAATGTTATTGGAATAGTCTGTTCAGGAAGTTGAAGATCGATGCTTCCTAAGTTACACAAGTCAATTTTATTGTTTAAGGACTTTCTGCTTATCCTTTTCAGGGTCTTTCTCCTAGTTCAGCTAGTAAGCGTAATCAGTTTCATTACATGGCTGAATGATTGTTGTCAATTAGATAAAAATGCAGAAAGATGGTAAGGCTTATCCCTTCCTAGAACTGATTCTGAAACCTGAGAATATGAACATTAATTCTGCTTTTATTAGATAATTTTCCCAAGTAAAAAAAATTGTTTTCTTTTGATGTTTTTGAGAGTGGAAACCATTTTCTATTAGTCAAACAATGAGATAACCGATACGATTTTGCTTTTGGCCTTTACACATATTTGCACTTTTTATATAAATCATTTGTAAATGTACAATGCAGTGAATAATCTCTCACCTGCTGAAGAGAGTGAACATTCTTATCAATAGATTGTAGTAAGAATTATTCAGCTCTAAAGTTTTACCCTGAAAATTAAAGCAAATTCCAAAGTCTGAATTCATTATTTATTTCATGTTTTATGTTGCAGCAGTAATCACAGAAATAAGATGTCATGATTTGGAGTTCAAGATCTAAAGTGATTACTCTGTTAAATCACATAATTGAATCTCTTTACTGTCATAGCATGGAACCTTGTTCAAACTTATACAGCCATTTTCTTCCAGTCACATCTGTCCTGCATTTGCACAATTGATTAAGTGAGGAATATGTACTTTGTGGCTCCTGTTAGATATATGATATTTCCTACAATTGTTTCAAGTAAAGCTAGCATACATTTGGAAAACTCTTTTCTGTGGCATTCAAAGAAATTTAGTTATTTACTTTTCAGTATGTATTTGGGTTTTAATGCTGATAGAAAAATTACTTTTTCTGTAGCCACATCCATGTGATGTTGCTTGCAACTGCTGCATATGTTATATGCATAGTGGGGATCATCATGATGTACATTTGGTATGCACCAGAACCGTCCTGCCTCCTTAACATTTCCTTCATCACGTGGACACTGGTACTCCTGCAGCTGATGACTAGTGTTTCCCTCCACCCTAAAGTATGTTCTGGTCACGCCTGGCCTTTCACTTCTTAAATGCTATAGCATGATTTCTAATCAAATGCATGATTTCTTTCTGAAACAGGTGAATGCTGGCTTCTTAACTCCAGGGCTCATGGGGCTTTATGTGGTATTCATCTGTTGGTGCGCCATCCGAAGGCATGATTTTAGGCATTTGGGATAGTAATTGATCAGTTTTAGAGTTTTCGGAGTGCATTCATTAACATTTCATTGTTACAACTGCAACCACTAAAACCAGTGTTCAATCACAAATCAAGCAACAATTAGGATTGAGGTGGTTTATGGATATGGACCTATGGAACAATCCCCATGAGTTTTGTCACCGCCCTAAGAAATTACAAAAAAGATAGTCTTATCCTTATTAGCTCTTTACTTTGGTAGACTGTTGGTTTATTGAGTTTTAGCTTTATGACATTTATGTTTTTGCAGTGAACCGGCAGGGGAAAATTGTAATAGGAAAGCAGAAGCTTCAAACAAAACGGACTGGCTCACAATCATAGTAATATTTCATTCTTTTGAAATCTGTTAAATGTTTTGAACCAAGTATTAGTGACTGCTCATCTAACTACTGCAACTCAACCACTTACACTCCATATAAGGAAAAAAGTGTTTGTGTTTTCCCCATCTAATAGCAATTTGTTGTAAAGTTTACCACAAGCATGATGATAACTCTCTTTATTCTTTCAGAGCTTTGTCGTTGCGCTACTGGCTATGGTTATTGCTACATTTTCTACCGGTATTGATTCTCAATGTTTTCAGGTTTGTTCCACTAGCTTCATAAATGTTTAGTAGTTATCTCCCTTTTCCATGAAAATGCATCTCACAACAGCTGCAGTTCAGGAAAAAGGAAACACCAGCTGAGGATGCCCTACCATATGGTTACGGTTTCTTCCACTTTGTTTTTGCTACTGGAGCAATGTACTTCGCAATGCTATTGATTGGTTGGAATACTCATCATACTATTAAAAAGTATGTCCCTGCTTTGCCATAATATTTCTGCAGTTATTGCTTCATGCATTTGAACTTTGATTTATAATGAATTTTGAATATTTATTTGCTAGTGTTGCGAAAAGATGAGTAGATGGGAATAGATTATGACTAATTTACTTGTTAGTTCTTAGTAACATCTCTACAGACGTTTCTCAGTGATTAGCAAGTTCGTAAAGCCGAAAGCAACAGCAACTTATTCGATAATGAGAAGAATGTAATAACTTTACTCCGACACTGTTTTGCAGATGGACAATCGATGTTGGTTGGACCAGTACCTGGGTCAGGATAGTGAATGAATGGCTAGCCATCTGCGTTTATCGTAAGTACTTAATCAGAACTAGATTTGATATGATTGCCAGGGCCATTGTCAAACATAGAGGTTTCCTTTGACTTTCAGATGCTTTAATGATGATTAACAGACTAAACTATGATCAGAAAGATTGTTAAAAGACAAGATTAGGAGATTAGGTGATAAGATTTGACATACTAATAGAATAAGATTTATTATGTTGCAGTGTGGATGCTGGTGGCTCCTGTTATATTGAGGTGCAGACAAACGAGTGAACCTGCATGAAAAAATTTATGAAAGATGTTCAAATGATTTTTGCAGTTGCTCCGACCCTTTTAATTACATAAATGTTTACCAATCTGCTTTGAAGCATTGCTTAGAAGGAATAGAGCCGGGGCAACGCCTACATCCCAATTCTTTTGCCTGAAGGAAGCTGATGTTCAATCCTCTATCTCAGCTTAACGTGGGAATATGGAAATACTTTTAAATTTTGAAATATGTCAAACAAAATCCCCATTAATAGTTGTAAATACAACGGACTTTTCCAAAAGCTTCAACCAAAATTACATTTTTTATGGGCTATTTCGCCTAAAAAACGAATGGCTCATTAGGAAATTTAAGTACCAGCTCCCGAAATTTGACAAAGGTCAAAGGTTGCAAAAATAAAAGTAAAAATATGTCATTTTTTTTACCTCTTATTTTGGTTTAATTCAAATATTGAAAGGGGAAATCTGGAATTTGGACTTCATCCAAGAAAATAGAAACAAAATATTTCTAAAAAAATTCCTTTGTTCTTTTTTAGGCCAAAGACAAAATGCGAACTGCAAATTCTTCAAATAATCACAATATTCAATAATAGTACATTACAAGGTTACAAACTGCGACAACTTTAAAAAACTCACATACTCGGAAGTGGTTGTCCAGAGTCATTGAGAGACCGCAAAATCATACAACACTAAGGGGAAATACAAGGTAGAAAAAAGAGGGGAAATGATACAATTTGTACCAAGGCAATACACAGATCACTTAATGGAAATTACAATAAACGTCATATCTGCACACACAAAAAAAAAAAAAAAAAAAAAAAAGACAACCATTGACCCTTGTAAATCTGAGCTTGCAGTTTCTCGCTCTTCTCTCTATGTGTGAGCATCGAACTAATTATCTTCGGCCAGTATGGATAACAGATCCTTAAACCCGGAAAGGAATGACAGAATTTATGATAGGGCTTGGATCATTTGAGCTAAAGCCAAAACTTTCCACTCATCAATTTAACAGGTAGCAACAATAGTGTGCTTAACCAGATATGGGGTCCGGGATGCTTTGTTCTTTATATTCAGCCAAATGGGTTGCCCCCAACAGAAGAGAAAGGCTGTGGGGTAGCCGGTGCCGAGAATCTAACAGCCGCCTGTTGATCAGTATTTACAAAACCAAAAGATGCCTCACTGCCAATGCCCCCAATCTGATGGCTGCAAAGCAATGAATAACTCAAAGATTAGGAATATAAACATAGAATAAACTTAAAAGTTGTTGGACAAAACCAGCAACTGGACACAGCCAGTAACCATAAGCTCTCTCTCTCTTCCTTTTTTTCCCCTTTTTACAACAATTTATGGTAAAAAGTTATTATTCAAGAACTGAGAAATTATTTACCTGGAAGGTGTCAAGTTACTGGGTAATTGTGCTCCTGGGTATGGTCCTGTAAAGTATTGAAGAATTCAGCATATTAAATAAACAAAATTAAATATATATATATATATAGAAGGGGGAATTAAAATGCTTTACTTTGTGGCACTGCTGATGCATAAGGCGGTGGCTGCAATGGCATCCCTGGAGCATAAGGCAAAGACTGAGGTGGCATCCATGCTGATGATGGAGTACCAAAGCTAGAAGTGTGCCTTAGGCCAGTAGGAGGTAGCACATTTGGTAGGGCACCTTGCAAGGAAGCCATTGAAGGGAACTACACCACAAGCAACACAATATAAAGAAGATTGCAAAAGAAACAATAAATGTGCAACTCCTGGATAAGTTCAAGGACAAATGCTTTGCATAGGGATTAAAAAGTGAGAGTAGGTTGGGAATTGTAGTTATTGAATTAATTGATCATGCATATCAAAAAGTAACAAGCAAAATCACACTCATATGTAGTGTTTATTACGTTCAAGATTGTCAACCAGAATATCCGGATTAGACAGCTATGATCCACAGAGTCAAATAAACCCAAGTTTCCTCACAGGCTCAGCCAAAAGAGTCAAAATAGCATCAAGAAATTAAACAATAACCCTGTTCTCTCTCTCTCTCTCTCACTTAAATTTTACAGCAAGACTTAATTTCTACGTAAACCAACAAAACAAGCATGCAAACATTATAAACTGTCATAATGTTATCAGAGTCCTTATAGCCCACTAGGACCAAGTCAGTCAGTGGTACAAGCAATGAAATAGTTCAAAAGAAGTGAATAACATACTGTTTGAGTTTGAGAATGAAGTGCTTCACCGCCGAGATCAAATGGGTTTATCGATCTTGATGACTGTGGAAAAGCAGACATTGGCTGTAACAACAAAATGCATGGAGAACTATAAGTGATTCATCAACTAGAAATGCAGTTAAGTAAGAAATAATGAACTTGTGAACCTAATTTATTTTGAAAGGTAACAGTACCATTGCAGTATTATATTGCATGGTGAACCCCATGCCACGTGGTGGGCCAGTTTGCCATCCTAGTGCAGATGCAGGATAGGTAGGATAGGTTGCAGTAAATAGATCCTACAAAAAACAAGAAGCTAACCCAATAAATAATCCTCGCAACAGAAAACTACAATGTCCTTGGTCTAAAAAGAAATTACCACAGGTAGTTCTTTTCTTCCACTTGCTTTTGTTTCTGTAGGGGGAGGCTGTGATGCAACAGTAGAAGTGACATCCTGGACAGGTTTCAAGACGGCTTGAGTTGTTTGTGCAACTGGTGCACTCAAAGGCCCCTGCATGTGCTGGGAAGGAGCAAAATTCAACGGCTGCCAAAGAGTTGCAACACAAAATTTGGTTAACAAAGAGTCAGTTATCCAAAAAAAAAAAAGCCACAAAATATAAGAAAACTAGAAAATACCCACCGATGGCATAAATTGTTGGCTAGTAGAATGACCGCTGGTTGCTGAGAAAAAATTCGCCTGTTGATACTGCATGTTAGGCCATTGTCCAGCATTATTAACACTGACCTGGGAACTACCACTGCTGACAGGCATTATAGGCATTAATCCAGGAGCAGCTGTCAAAGCACCAGGAGGCAATGTTGAGAAATTGCTAACTCTAGCAGCTGCAGGAGCAGCAGCACCAAAGGGTAATGTTTGGCTCTGCCCTGTGAATGCAACATTGGAATTACCAATTAGAGGTGCTGCATTCACATTGGCCACAGGAGCAGGTATCCAACCACCAATACCGCTAGATACTCCTGATAGATGACCAGGTACAGATGGTGGAACTGACAATTGAGAAAGAACAGAATCCAGGGTGTTCACATTCGAAGGGGCCTGAGAAACATTTGTCTGCGAGGAAAAATCAAAAGAGGCCCAGTTGTTATCATTGGTAGAACTTGTTGGCTGCACTATGGATTGAGTCACGGCAGTTTGTTGTGTCTGAGTAACAGCAGAAGCTACTGGAGGTTCAGGATCAGCATCAAAATCAATTAAGCTAACTGTCGTTTCCAACTTGACTTCTGCTGGATTCCCGCTGGTAGATCCTAAGCTGCTAGAAGATGCAGTTCTCTGCTAGAAGTAATACTTCAGTAAGTCCATTTCCTTTTTCTTTACCCAAATAAAATTGAGCAAAATAAAGGAAGACAGGAAAACATCTTTTTCCTTCGAGCAATAATAAAAAAAAGTAAGAATCTTAATAAATGACCATGCAAAGTTCTAGATTGATGATTCTTTAACAGCATTAAAAATACATTTATTTGGTGACAATTGACACCCAAGTTAAACCTATATTCCACTTAAAATGCACATGAATTCACACATGAGCGAGTGACAGATAGCCTAAAGATGAAAAGAATCAACCACAAAACAACTGCAAGGAACTTATTATGGAAAGCCAAACCTGGGATGCTTTTATCTATTGGTACAAGTTTATGTAACTTCAAGGCATAAATCATCACACCAAACATTGCAAAAGAGTTGAAGCAGCAAAGTAGCACGGTTTTATAATCAAATTGTCCATAACTCAGAAAATTATCATTATTAGCCGCATGAATAGAGTCACTTCCTGCACACACTACCTAGTGGCTCCAATAAAAGGTTGTCAACTAATGAAAATAAGGTAGTCTAGATGGATTCCCAACACGATAAGAATTATCAACCCCAACCAAAAGTAGGACAAATACTCTGAATAAATTACAGAAAGAGAAGAGAAAAAGTAAATTTTAAAGGAATGAGAACCATGCCAAGTGGTTAATTGTGGCAAAAAGCATCATGTGAACACTATAGGTTGTAACAAATTCAAAAGGGCATAATGCTAAGACATAAATAAATTACTTTTATGTGAGAGAGATGAGGAACAGCACAAAAAACAAAGAAAAGATTTGTGAACATTGCAAATTAAACCCAAACAAAACCCTGACCAGAACATTAAACTATTGTTACCAAGCACATAGCAGAAACTACCTGTGTCTGAGGGCCATCAACAGTTCTGCTGCCATTTGCCTTTGGAGGTTCACTTATACGAAGGGGTATTACATTCTCACCCAAAATTTCTCTAACAGGACGAACCACTGGGGGACTGAATGACTCTAAATCTTTTGGTCGCTCAGGTGACCTCCCTTCTAACTTTGGATCTCCATCAGATATTCTACGATCTTCAGGTTTCCTCCCATTACCAAATCTATCTTCTCTGCGCCAGTCATTGACAACCTCAGGACGAGCAGGACTTCTTCTGTAATCACCATATTGTTGACTTTCTTGATCATATCCAGGACTTCGCCTTTCATCATAACCATATCTAAAATTTCTGTCATCATTTCTTCCCGCTGGACTGGACCTGCCACCGTAACGCCGTTCATTTGTATCTTCATATGGTGGACTTCTAGACCCTCCCTGATATCCATCTGTCCTCCTATTCTCATAAAAGTCTTCCTTGTCACCCTGCATAATGCACAATTCAGAAAATCATAACACAGCACTCTTCAGTATCACGATATCTAAAAACTCCCTCATCCAGAAGTAGGAACCTAACCTATAATATCACCGTCTATCATATCATATCTCACAACTTTATAGCTGATCGACATTCAATGGAAATTAGGAATATAGAAGGGCATCTTACCATCTTTCCTCGTGAAGGCTTGTCATAGCTTCTTTCACCACTGTATCTTCTGTCCACATAAACATGCTTAATGAAGTCACGAAGCCTCTCAACATTGCTGGCAACAAAATTTTGACTCAGAAACATGGTAACTAATGAAGGCACAAAACCAAAAGATTGGATATTTGAGTGATAACCTGCTGTCAGGAAGAGAATTACGCTGAGGATCCCATTCTTTATAATAGATTTCTTTTGCACGCTGCATGTAAGTTAAACGAACAAGGCAAAAATGAGAAACTGGAATATTAGAAATGAAAAGAAAATTGCATATATATGAAAGAAATCTTTTCCTTTTTTTCTTTATCAAAAGAAGGGAAGGGAGAGAGAGATAGCGAGAGAGGATTTATCTATACCTGATTTCCCCCTTCTTGAAGAGCAATAACTTCTTGAGAAGTAAATTTAGCCAGCGATACTGATTTAACTCTGTGTGTGAATTCCCGACTGGAAACAATTCAAACCAGGAGCCAGTTTTAGTAAACCTACTGACTATCATTACAAAGGCACTAAAGTCTCATATATAAGCTAATCAGCAGCCAATTTTAAAATAAACCTTAATGTGCCAAAAAACTCTGAACACTTACTGTATTCCACTACAGGTGGTGCAAACAAATGTCCAGAAATTTGTGCAAACATATTGAGGGCCCTGCTCAACTGACAAGTTAGCAAATAGCAACACTATGACAGAGAAAGTACACACTCCAAAATTTACACATTAAAGGAAATCACAGTCAATTTAGCACAAGGAAAATGCAGCCAAAACACATATTTCAATTGCGAAGTTTCTGCAAGCAACATTTCGTGAGGATATTCGAACAAATATTTTATTGAACAACCAAAACTCCCCAAAAGGTTTAAGAGTGAAGATCCCAGCAGCCACCAAAAATTTAATCAGGCTTTCTAATTGTAAACAAATTCTTATCAATATTCAAACTATACAAACTATCTCACTAGTCATAACTACCAGCCTAAGCAGAACCTGCTTTTTCCTTTTTTTCAAAATTCATGGGTTAATTTGCCATTTTTGCAGGGATATAAATATAGCAGGATCAATAATATAGTCTGTACAATAAATCATAAAGGGACCACAAGTATTATTGATTTCAAAGCCTACATACATAAGCAAGTATATCGATGACTAAATACGAAAACCAGATATACTTGATGAACAATTCACACAGTGTTATTCCATCAATCAATAGCAGGACACGACAGCTTTTTGACTACAATCATGGGATCAAAACAAAAACAAGAAAAAACAATAAAAAAGAAAATCATACCAAACTGTTGCAGTTAATACATCTACGATTCTCCGGTTGTTTGAGAAGACCCCGAATTATTCGCTCATTTTTCTCGTCTTCCTTCACTCGACTCGCCATCACACCCTTCCTATATCAAAATAGGCAAAGACCAAATTAGAAAATTTAAAAAAATGAACAAAAAATTAAAAAAAAAAGTCAGTCGACATTAATTTTGTCCAAATTATCATTAATCACCAGCAGACACAAAAATATTAATTAATTTCAAAAATTATAATTCAATTAATTCTAAATTTTTTTCTTCTACATTATTATCATTCCCATAAAAATCAATTAAACATTAACTTCCCTTCACTGCCAAGCAAAATTAAACAATCTAAACTACAAACCTCCTATTTTCCCTGCTAATCAAACAAACAAAAAAAATAATATACAAAAATTCAACTAACCAAAGGCAACGGATCTGAAAAATCAAAGCAACTTAAAACCACAAAGCAGCACAAATAGATAAAATAAGGACGTGTTTGGAACCCTAGAAAAGTTGACCGAGAAAAAAAAGAAAAAAAGAAGACAAGAAACGAAACAAAGGACTGACCTGGAACCAAAGAGAAAAAGGAAAAGTTTGTTTCAACTTTCTTTTGGACGCTTTTAAATGAATTAATTCCGATCCAACGCCAAGAATATTATGTCAATTATAAGAGCAATAAAAACTGGATTAAATATAAAAAAAAAAAAGAGAGAGAGAAATCTGTAGATCTTTGAAAGGGTGTTGGTAACTACAGAGGGAAGCTTTGGTACAGTTAAGAACTAAGAAAAAAAAACTAGGACAATAAAAGGCTGCTTTATTATTTTTATTGTTTTTTGCTTAAAAATGAAGAGAGAGAAATTAGGGATTTTTTAAATTTCCTTTCACTGTGTTCTCGGGCAGAGGAGAAAAAGAGGAAAGGTCTTGATTCCGTACAGTTGCTCCATTTGACAGTTTTCGTCTAATTTTTTTCGTATATTTTTAACGAACACGCCCTCAATTTGTCTACTTATTTTATTATTATTTATATAAAAACCCAAATTAATGATAGAAATTTATCCATTAGCCCAATTTATCGAACCAGTATAAATATAATCTGATAAGGTCAATTATTTTAAAAAAATACTAATTTTACATTGAGAAAAAAATGTTTCATCAGAGTTTCAGGCCACTAGTTGAATGCTAATTAAATGTCACAATAGTTACTGAAATTAAAGTCTTAAAGTAACATTGATTTCAATATTCTATATTTTTTTTTGGCCAATCAACTTGGAAGAAAACATTTATTTTCATAATAATTTTTAATAATATAATTATGTTTGCTCTTTAATAATTCTTAACAATATAAAGGTTTCTGTCTTTTGTTTTTGAAAAAATGTTTCAAGTTTAATTATAGATACCTTCCCTCTGTATTATGTAAATGAATAGATTGTATTTGAAATAAACTTGATAATTTTTATTATTATATCATGTAAAATATTATATTTGTATTATATTTTACATGAAAATCATGTATAATAATTTATATTAATATAAAAATATAAAATATATTTTTTATTTTATTAAATTTATTTATAATTTTTATTAAAATTTTAAGTTATATTATTTTTGTATCATTTATTTATATCATTTTCATATCATATTTTAGATTGTCATATTTAATTTTGACTAAAATAATTTTTTTTTTAATTTTGTATCTTATGGGAATTCTTTTTAGAGTAATGAATTTGTTTCAACTCTTTTTATTTAAAATGATCAATTTTGTATTTTATAGTTTATAGCTATATGCGGTGAAGCTATATCTTTTAGGGAGTGAAATTATTTTTTTAATTGTATGTGATTAAAAAAATTCATTTCATTCTATGTTTATATGTTTAAAATAATCAAAATGTAAACTCTAATTATTTAAATTAAAAATTTAGCATTCCTTTATTGATTTCAAATTTCAAGTTTTACAGCTGTAGTTTTTTCAAGTCTTTTATGCTGAAATTTAAACGCTGTCTTGCTCTGTCAATGAACAATCGAGACTTCTGGAATGTGGGATGTAGACATGAAAAATTGGTGGATTTTCCGTTTTTGGTCGTCAGCAACATGTTCAATTTGTTCATATTGAGTTCTTTATCGCTTCTTTTTTTTTTTTTTTTCCTTTTTGGTTTCATACTTCCAAAATAAAAGGGTTTTTATATTGTTGTATTATTTTATTTGCTCTTACTTAAAAAAAAAAGAAAAAACCAAAATTTTACCCAACTTTCTTTAGACATAATAATCTAGTCCATAAACTTGTGCTGTGTTGGAGCCAAAAGGTACAAATGATTCAACTTATATTAACTTATTCTAAAAAAGAAAGCAAGCAATACTTAATTCATATTAATACCGTGCGAGTTACTGTGTGACATAAAGAAATAGCCATGTTCTTTTTTTATTTTTTTGTAATTTTTAATTCCATCCTTAAATTTTATATCTTTAGATGAAATATTATGCATATAATTTTTTCAAATCGGTAACTTTTGAATCAATAATTAATTATATTTGATAATTTAAAATATGATATAAATATAATATAAAAAAAATTAAAATTTATATGATTTAAAATTTTAATAATAATTACATCTAAATTTAACAAAACTAAAAAAATATATTTCATATATTTTTATATCTACATAAATTGTGACATATAATTCTTATATAAAACATAATATAAATAAACAAATTTTAATATTTTACACGACATAAATACATTAATCACCTAACTATTTTAAATGTTGTTTCATTCTTATAATAATGAAGATGTTAATGTTATCATTACATTACTTGTAAAAGGTGTTAGATAAATATTAAATGATAACCACTCACTCCATATAGAAATTTGTTAAATTAAAAATACAACCTCCATTTTAAGTTTTTACCTTTTCATTTTTCATATTTACACATAATTATGCATACACAAAAAGAGGTTTGACATATAATTATGAATAACGATGATAACAAGTCAAGTTGAAGTGGATTTTTATTTGTCTCAATTTTTATTCAAGTTCATAAATTTTACATCTAATTTTGATATTCAAATATTATTTTTTTTATATCCGATTCAATTTATATATATATATAACTATAATTGATTCGACATAATCTAAAATTAATTTAATAATTTTAATTTAATGTAATATTTATAAAATATTATTTTTAATATAAATTATATCTCAATTATATATAAATATAATATATTTATTAAATTAATATATTAAATTAAAATATTAAATAATAATTGTATTAATATAATATATATAAATATAAAACTAAATAAATAATAAAAATTTATTTTTATATTTATATAATATTAAAACGAATTTACTTAAAATTTGATCTAAATCTAATTTTAATTTTTAAAAATTTTTAATTCAATCAAAACTCAATTTAAAAAAGATCTTATAAAATCATATTAGATTACAATCCGGTGATTTCAAGTAAATTTACCATCACTATTCATAAAGATAACACTAATAATTAAACATAATCCATAATAATTACTCAGAAAAGGTGAGTGTAAATATTTGCCTTAATCATTCATTCTAAACAAAATAAAAAAACATTGTTGTATTGCAGTGCACATGCTTGACAGATGGTAATGAAGATTAATAGCAGCATCACATTATTTTACAAAATGGGTATCATATCGCAACATGCTTTGCCACACACCTAATCAATATAATAATACAAGTTTAAAGAGAAAAACTATTATCGATAGAAAGTGAATTTATAGATCTACTGATCACATATTATTGGATGACATGACATCTCTGCAAAAAGTGATGAGAAAATTTTTTTAGTTCTTAAGATTATTTTTTTATTTTTTAATTTTTGCTTTTTTTTAGATTTAAAAAAAAATCTTAGAGAAGAAAAATAGAGAAAGGGAACAAAGGTCAACGAGCCATCGACGACGACAATGGAGAAATGGTCAATCAAATATAGGCAAAGGGAAGGAGGCGAGAAGAGAAAGATCTATCACCCCCTACTTGTCCTGTGGATGTGGGCGGGCTCATATCAGCTGGCTTCTGCCTCTTCGGCGGTGATGGTTGGGACAGATATGGCTACCTTGACGGTCTAAATAAATGAGGAAAAAAAATAATGAAAAATGAAAAGTATAGAAAAAAAAATTTAGAGAAAAAAAATAAAACCAAAAGGCAAGAGAATTTTTTTAAAAAAGAGTTTTGATTTTTGGATATTTTCTCATTTTGTTTCTATTATTTGTTTTCAAATATTTTAAAATAAAAAATATAACTTAAAATAATTTAACGAAAATACTAAACATATACATTTAATCAAGGAGTTTGTTTTTTAAACAAAATTGAAAAAAGTATTTTGAAAAGAAGAAGAGGAAAGAAAATATATTTATTAATTAAAAGAAAAGAGTAAATGAAACTAGGAGTTTATTATGTTATATATTATTTTCTGTTTTCTCATATTTTATTTTCATTTTTTTAAATTTGTTTTCTTTAAATATTTTTTCAACAAAATATAATTCAACAACTTAAAAAAAAAAATCAAACACTCAAGTTGTACGAAAAAAGTGAATTTTTTAAAATTAAAAAAATGACAAATGTTTTGAGTTTTTCATGATTTTTTTAAAAAGCTTTTGGACGTTTTACTTTGTTAGTTTCTTTTGTTTATTGAATTCTTAGTCTTTTCTGGCTAAAAAAATAATTTTTTAATTGAAATTTAAATAAAAATTTTAAATGTGTCGTGAAAGAAAGATAAGATAAAAGAATAAGGAAGAAATAATAATAAAAAAAAAAACAAGATATATGAAATTTTTTAACCGTTGTATTTTTTCTTTCGTGTTTTCTTTTTATTCGCTCTTTCCATTTTCACCTAGTCCAATCGGGCCGGGCCATGGAAAAAACTTGAAGATTATGGAAAAGGAGGTGGGTCCATTTTGTTGGTTATGAGGTGGGGCCAGTTATTGCTGAGCTGGCAAGGATAAAGAACAAAAAGGACAAGCCTACAAATTCTAGAGTGAGGGAATTCCTGAATTTGCTCTATTATTATATTATTATTATATATTTTTTAACTTCTAGGACTCCAACTTCGGAATATAAAAGACAAAAAAGAACAGAGTTGAAAATTTCACGCTCGATGCTGTGCTCTGCAGAGGATTAATGCAATAGCAGATTAACACGCAAAATGTGTAAAGTAGAAAAGACTAGTTAGTAAAAAGGAAAAAAAGAAAAAAACCCTAAAATCGTTTCATATTTCTCCGTTTTGAAGCTTTCATTTACGTTTACAGTATGAAAATCATTGTTTGGTTTGAAGTACGTTTTGTTCAAATTTTTGGAGGAATGAGTCTTGAAATTTAGTTCTAGTACTCCTAGTTTTTTTGTTCTTGATTTTTTCTTTCTTTTTGGTTTTGAAAATGGCGAACTCGGGGGAAGTGGAAGCAGAGTACGAGAGCGAACCCGAGGAGTCGGTGTTACTGCGGAGAAGGAGTGAAGCGAGCGACGACGATAAGGAAGTCGAAGAGGAGGAAAACAAGATGATTGTATCCGCAAGGCTAAATAGAATTGTAAGGAGAATTGGTTACGCTAATGAATCGGACGTTCGCGATGGAGCTCCAGAGTACTACGACGATAGTGATGATGAGGAAGTTTCGTACGTCGATGAACTTGAAAAGCTTGGAGAACAAGTAGAAGAAGAAAGCGAAGAGGAAGTAGCGGAACAAGTAACGGCGACGAAACAGAGAGGACAAGAGAAGGTAAACGATGGCGACAACGACGCCTTTGCGGTTCCAAGAATCGGTGCGTTTTACATGCACGACGATCGTTTCGGTGGTCTTCGTCGTCGTAGTCGCGATCAACGCAGGTACCTTCTTTTTCTCTTTAGCTCGAGTTTGCATGTAAAACGATTAAATGCCATCGAACGATAATCAATATAAGATTCATTATTCTCCACCAGTGAAGGTACACGTCTTGATTTCTTTTGATGAGAATGTTTGAACTACATTTTGATTCAAGTATTCTAAACTTAAACTATCTTTCATTAATCTTAGATAGGTTTAAATCATTGATTTGTTCAAGCTCATTTAATTTTATTTATGGATGTTAGTTCACATGGCGATTTCCGGAAAGCAATGCGCATTAAATATTCTGGAGTGTGGAGCGTGGTAATGGATAAAAATTGACTGACAATAAAAATTTGCTAACACTTTGGTGCGTGATTTAGGTAGCACTTTAGTTCTGCTTCATTTAACCACTTAGATTTGCATTAAAACCTTTGGCCATACTGTAATTGATCAATTGGAGCTGTCTGGGGGCAGTGGTCATTTTACCTTTTTTGTAGCCTTAGTTGTTAAAATATGAATATTCATTAGAGCAATTTAATCTATATTTTGGTTGCACTCTAAAGAGTTTAATTACTGTTATATTTGCTAATTAATCACACAACAGTTGAGACCTATTGGTTATAAAGCAATTTTAGTTAAGGTTTTAGGGTGCTATTCTTTGTTTTCACCTCACCTTGCCTAGATCAGCATTAAGCAGATCATTTATTTTTTAATTTTTCAATAGCAAATTTCATGGTTGATTTTGATGGTCAATGATATAGAAAAAATTCTATAAAATGTAGGGATAAATGAGTATATTGTCATATGATGGATTTTGTTTTATCCCAACTGTTTTGTCAGCCCTTTTCTTTGTTTTTGGTGATTTATGTACCTTTTCTCTCCATTTTTTTACATAAATGTTCTTTGTAGTTTCTTCTTGTTTTTGTTAGGTTCATATGCTTCAATATATCATCTTTGTCGTCTTGCATTTTTCAGGAAAAACATCTGGGCATCCAAAGATGAATTAAAATGGATGCATGACAAGTTTGAAGAGATGACACTGAAGGAAACACAAAACAAAAAACTCAATGCCTTTGAAGTTTAGTCTACATTGAATACTGTTTTTCCATTTTGTGATGCTTTTTTTATGTGGTGGTGGGAAAGAAATCACATCGAGGCCAATTCTACAAAAGAGCAATGACAGCACCAGTTTAACACCTTTTTTTTATTGATTTTGTCTCTAGGTACACAGGACTTCAAATGATTATCATCAAAATCGCAACAAGAATAATACTAAAAGTGGTGGTTATAAAGCAAAAGAATCCAGACCGCATTCCAAATCTGGCAATAATGGCAGTTCTTCAAAAATAGTGAAAGGACGGGGACCTGTTAGATATAAACCTCTTTCAAGGAGCATCTCTGTAAATCCACCAATGAAAAGCATGCAGTAAGCTGACATGTTTGATAAAATCATTCTTTGGACAATGCTTTTGTCAACCAGTATTTTTGTTAGACTGCTTTTTATTGCTTGGTGGTTTTTCAGATTAGAGAAGACTCAAGGAACAAGTTCCAAAACAGATTCAGCAAGAGTATTTTCAGCAAATAACAAGCAGCAGTAAGTTCTAGACAGCCACATGCATGCGCCATTATGCATTTTTAACTCTTTGGTTTGTTTCATTGATCTTGTTTCCATGACATTGTTGTTTACTAACATCAGATATAAAAGGTCCCTGGGGAAGACAGCTAAAGCTGATTCAGAAAGAGCATTGTCAACCAAAAGCAAGCAGTAAGTCAGAACTTTGGACCCATTTGTTCCTCGAAATCCTATGTTCTCTGAATATATTGCAATTCTTTCTAATCTTGGATGCTCTTTTAGGTCTGCAAAGTCTTTTGAAATGACTGGAGATACTGATTCATCTGCAGTTTTCTCAAGAAAGAGCAAGCAGTAAGTTAGCTTTCTGGATAATGCTTTTGTGAAGCCTCCATTTTTTGAATATCATTTTAGATTTATTTTTATTTTTTCTAACCATTCAGGTCCTGGGACCTAGGAATGGCATCGTACACTGATCCAGCAAGTGTATCGTTACCTGGCTTAAATGTGGATTGTGATTCACTTCCCTTTGATCAGCACCTTTTGGCACCAAGCATGAGTTCTTACCAGCAAGCATTTTATCCTGCAAGTTCTTTTCATTATGATAACTCTGTGACACAGAAAAGGATGGTACAACCTGGAAGCAGAAATGCAGTGTTTCCTGCTTCTGTGCTGCCAAATCAGATTATCCATGTTCAACAAGCCAATGGGTTTTTACAAGGGAATATTGAAGTAGATATTCCTTATGCTAAGGAGGGAGTTAGTCAGGTTGCTGAAAATTATTTTACCAAACTTTGTTTTCAGTATTCTGTACCAGGGTCTACAAACATGGCTTCTCCAGAGTCAAGAGACCAGAAAACTGGTTCATCTCTCTCAATACCATTTACTTATCAAGCAACTCCACTTCCTAATCAGTTAAATAGAGTTTCTTCTCGGGCACAGTCCATTGTTCAACAAGTGCATGCTGATAGTACAATTCAACCTCCATCAAAAGTTTTCTCTCAACAGTTGCATTCACTCCTTCGGGGTGGATCTCAGAAATTATATGAAGCATCATCTCTGAGTTTTCATGAACCTGGAAAATTTGAATCTCTCACAGGCTCAATTCAGTCAAAAGTTGCTTCTCTGGGGATTGTAAGCAACATCACTAGTCCTCAATACGCAGGAATACAAGGTGACCAAAACTTTAGTGCTACACCAATTCTTTTTCCTGGTATATAATTTTTTTTTTCTTTCTCCCTTTGAAGTGTTACAGGAAATTTTCGTTACTTTCTATTGCGGCTGCATTAATAATTACCAAGATTCATACTAATTATTGGTGTACTAACACTTAACACTTACATTATTGCAATTTTATTCTTAGTTATTAGCCAAGGTTCTTTAGTTAATACGTAATGCTTAATTAGGTGGAATGTAGGTTTATGTACCTTTCAATACTCTTATTTGGGTTTTATGGGGGTGGTGGTGGTTGCAATTGAAGAAATAAGTCGGTCTTCTGATTACATTATCCATGATTTTTGAGCTCCTAGTTTTCTTTAATCATTTTAAGTTGGTGATCATGCTACAAGGATTTGGTGCAGAGTAGAGGATTCGAATTGAGTGGTGATATCAGTTTAAAAGTAAACTATAAACACATTGAACTGTCAAGGCATGGCTAATGGTATAGTAATTGCAAATTATGATCTGTCAAAGAATTTGTAGTTTATCAGACAATCTTCATTCATTTTGAGTTTGAATGTTTGGGCAAGCAGTTATGCAATTTGGAGGCCTGCATCATGGGAGTCTTGGTGGTCCTGCCATGGATATGAACTCCACTGGATACGTTGGTGAATCTCAAGTTCATATCAGGAATCCCGACCTGACATGGTATGCTAATTATTTCTCTATATATGTGAAATTTCTTTCACAAGTTGCAGTTACTTCTTCCCCTTCAATGCATGAGATCCCTTGAATAACAAAGTTCTTCCTTGAGTTTTCTCCTGGTGAGAGGTGTCCTGTCAATTTGATGGATTTTTGAGTGACTAATTACCAGAATTGGGGAATGTTGTATCCGATCTGTACTCATCAAGAGGATCTCTGTTATAAACTAACCAAAGATTGCAATTATGTCATCGTTTTCTTGGACTAAAGTTAACCTGCCTAAGGGTTTAATGTGTTATAGGTATAAGTAAAATTAGATGTCATAGTTTTCTTGGACTAAAGTTAACCTGCCTAAGGGTTTTAAGTAAAATTAGATGTCATAGTTTTCTTGGACTAAAGTTAACCTGCCTAAGGGTTTTAATGTGTTATAGGTATAAGTAAAATTAGAGGCTTAGAGATTATGGCTTTATTTGCTTCTCTTATGACCGTGATTCGTCACTGTCATAATTGATTTTACTTGTTTGCTGTAACAGATTTCAACTTTTACATAGACACAAAAAGTGCAAATAACAGTCATTAGCAAATGATACTGCAGTACTCCTCCTGAAAGTTCAACATGTCTTTTAAATTAAGAAAATGAATGGGGAGTATTACTAGTTTCCAGAAGATGGTTTAGAAAAGCTTGTTGAGCTTTTCTGGAAGAAATGGGGAGATAATCTCACTGGTCCGTATGCTACCTTGACATTTGGTTTACTTCCAGCTTACATTGTTGAATATTTAAAGGCCTATCCTTTCATAGCTTCTTTCTTTTCTTCTTATGTGGACAGCACTTGTTGAAACTTTGAAATATGTTGATTTCAGGAATTTCATCCTTGCATATCTCTTCTGATACTAATGGTTAAAAAAGCTTTATTGTGTTGAGTTCGTTGCAAAGATGATTTATCTGATTTTCTGTCTTCATCCTTTGACATTACTGTGACTTCTCTAGGTTACCAATCTTACCAGCTGCTGCTGGAGCTGTAAGTGCCACATGTCATCGTCCCTTTATTGCTCCTGATGGCAGCTGTTATGGTAATTTGATGACAGCACCTTTCCTTGATGTTGCTAGGTTGGTAGCAATGAACTACTCCTTACTATCTCTGATCTCTCTGCACTGACCACTGTCTGAAATATGTTATATATTTGAAGAATCTCTTTCATTGCAATCAAGATTTTACATAACACATAAAGTCATGGTTAACATTAATTTTTTACACTTAATTGGACAAAAAAGATTTCTAATGTTCTTCCTGGAAAAAAAGCGAGAGAGAGAGAGAATGCTTATGGTCACTTTTGGCCCTGTGTTATTTGGGTTTGCCTCTTTTTTCAGCTAGATAGTTTCTTTGTGTTACTATTGAGGGTGTTAATTTGATCTTCATGCATGAGCAAGTTAAAAACTGTTGACATTTTACCCGTAATATTAACAATTTTCCTAATTGTAAATAAGCTGTACCCGCATTTGCAAACTGCAACAGATCAGAACTGTTATGATATGAATGTTTTGTTTGTCTTCCAAGTTTTATCTTATCAATAATCTATTCATGTATACGTGTTGGCCTCTCCTAGTAGGCTATATTGCATGCAAAATTCCAAATCTTCTGTGATCTTTCTGGTTTCTACTGCTGCATTGCATCCACATATATGGTACATTATATTTGAAATTGTTAATTGAATAGCATGCTTTAATCTGGTTAATTCTAAATGCAATGCTTTCCCTCTTTTTGTTTCCATTTGGATTCTTATGAAACATTATCTAGGTTTTTTTAGGCTTTTCCAATCATTCTCGCTTTTCCTTGCAAAGCTACCATCCTTCCTATATATATTTTGTCTCACTGCTCTGCTCCTATTGAGCTATTAAGTTTTTAGTGATATCTGTTATACGTGAAGCAAAACCTTAGTTCTTGAGTATCTGTGCAGTTATGCAACACATACATCCATGCCTAGTAATGAAGGTAATACATCTGGACCTAGTAATGGCAATCTGCCACCTTTGGAAACTGGTTAGTTTTGAGGTCTTTTCTTTTAGTTGTGCATGAAGTATATATTTTGTTGCTCCATTAGCTGTTGTCCTGTCACAGACTATGTCAAGAAAGCTGCAGAGCATATGAACAATGAATGTGGTAAACAACAGTTCAAGCCTACAAGGCAAGTTGGTTCTCTTTATGTGTCATATGTGTATCTGGATAGATGAACGTGTGCCTCTTTCTTATGGCTGTCTCTTTATGCAGGTATTCAAGGATGAACATAAAGGAGTGAAGTGGATACAATTGGATGCTTGTAATTGAGCAGCTCAGAGATTGATGCTTCTCTAATTTGTGGTTTTTCATTGCTTATATGTAAGTATATACCATCCTAACGGTTTGCTTGCCGTAGTTTTCTTTCCTTGTTCCCAATTTTAACTAGAGTTAATTCCTGCAGTGGTTTATATTTCAATCTGTATGCGTGCTTTCATTTTTTCCTTTTGGATATATAGGCTTTTATTCCGTTGTTTTTTGATGATTGCTGATTTTTTTTTCCGATATCCTGGATATCTTGATTGCTTGAGTTGTTTAGGCTCTCATAGATTAAGATGATTGTCAGGGAAACTATTGATGTCCAATTCATTAGTATGCCAATATGGGAATACTTTCTCAACATAAAACGGTTGATATAAGAATGGTCCCAATTAACCATCACCTGCATATTATACATTGAACCAATTGATTTTGATTTATTATGATTTATATGTTAGGAAATCAACACGCACACACAGCACACTATTTTTAAACTAACAAGCTTAAATCAAGAATAAAAACACAAATATATTTGTTTTAGTCTAACTCAAAATGACTTACTCCAAACCTAATCTACTATTAAATAAATCTTTATAACTGTGAGACTTTTGTAATAAAAAAAATCATCAAAAACTCCTTACTCAAAACTTAATCCAAAATCTAAATACATCATTTAATAGCCTACTCACTTAGCTATTTTTTTGGTGTCTAACTCTTTAGGATTATCAAATTAAAACTAAAATATCTTATTTATAAGGGTGAAATTACTTATAACTTTACTAAACTCCCGATGTGGGATACAAGATAAACTCAAAACTCTTATAACTTTTGATGTGGGATTATGAGATTCAAGATAAATCTTATCATTATAAACATCTGTATAAACATTTTACAGGTTCCAATAGGTTCTTGTTTTAGGATTTGAAGACTAGAGTTATAGCACCTTCATATCTTTTTTTTTTAAGAAGATACAAATTTCAAAAGTGCTTTTGTATCTCTAATTTTCGTCTTCCCATCATTTTGCATCATGGGGGTGTGATTTTATCACATAGGCCTATAGCCCAGGCCCTTCAACATTTGGGAGAAGGGTCATGTCCCTGCGGCCTCCTCTGCATCTAGTGTCCAAATAAAAAATTTGTTCACAAAACAAAACAAGTATTTCTGTTGTACGTAACTGACATGTCATGCACTTTCTACATTTGAATACTGATGATAAAATGTACTTAACATGTATTCCTTGACATCCATAGTTAGCTCGCTCTTGATTGTATATTTCAAATTAGTTTCTTTGCTGAGTTTTTAATTCTATAAACGCACTAGAAATGCAACTTTAATGCTATGGTCTGAGTCATTGACTCATTGGCTGCATTCTCTAAATTGTCTTTTGTTTTGTAATGCATTTGTAGTGATCGCAGCCTACTTATTTTGTAATTGATTGGGCTGAACTATGACTGAATACTAATTCGACAAGAGGTAGTTTCTATGTTAAGGTAGCCTTAGCTGTTCAACTCATACACGATAGGAGCCTTTAAAATTTCTTATTTGAGATCCACACAAAATCGCGAACTTTGTCTTTATATTTACGTTTGTTTTCTTGATATTCAATTTGATTTAATTGGATTTTTTTCGGAATATGAACAGTGTCTAAGGAAAAAAAATCGAAAATTTATTTAGCTGAATCAATTCAGTTAATTCAAGAATTTATCTTATTTTTAACAAATTTGAAAATCAAATTTTAACTTGGCAATTTTTTTTAATTCTTTTGTTGCAACGTTTTTCTTACACAAAAAAAAAAAAAAAAAAAAACTAAGCATAATTCTGTCTCTCGAGTCATGACTCTGACTTTGGTCAGGATGGTTGCTGAATCTCTAATTTATTTATTTATTTGAAAAAAAAAAGTTAATGAGAACAATTTAAGTTAGTTTTTCTTCAGCAAATGATATCCTCTTTTTCTTCAAATTAAATGTTCATTTTCTAAATGGTGTGTAAAGTTTAAAAAATGATGTATTTTCTTCATTTTAAATTTTCAAAAACTTAAAAAGGATCATGCAAATAAAACTTTCATATATTTTTATAAAGATGATGTTAATATTTAGGTTTCAAACAAGATATTCAAAAGTCTTTATAGTTGAGTATAAAAATGAATATTTATATAAATATTATTTTTTATTTCTTATTTATTTAAATTTTTTTTTACTTTATATGTTTAAAGATATCTTTTACAAAGTAAAATATAAATAGTAAAAGCATTAATCAAGTGATTCCCAATTCAATTAGTAAATTTAAAGATGATTACATTATAGTTGTTCCCAAATCATTTATATGTCATTATAATATTTTTTATTAAATACTTTTTTAATATTTAAAATTATTGAATTTCAAGCAAATATTTTTAATAATGCAATGTAAAAAATAATTTATGTGTTTATATAAATCAAATTAGTATTCCAAAATCAACTCCACTAAAATTTTTTGGTGACTACCATGTTTCGGAATTGGCTTGCTTGACATCTGCTGCTACTGTCGATGGTCCTTCATGGACGTTAGCTCCTCGTGTTAGAAACTATTGTGTGATGCCCATGAATCTTGAAATATTTACTGGCAGAAATGTTTCCATCCAGTGCTGAGCCCTCCATGTTGCCCGAATTCCTAGTATAAACCGTAAAGGTAGATAATGTTTCCTTGTATGCGGGTTTCAATCAAGATTGAAAGAAAAAAAAGAAAGAAAGAAAAGAATCAAACTATTTTAATGGTTTAAGTTTGTCATCTTCGGGATGAGCAGAGTGCTGGGTTCCAGATGATGACCGTAGAGAATGGGCAGCGCAAAGCAAGAGTATAAATGTTATTAGAGGTTATTTATTATTATTATTATTATTATTATTATTATTATTATTTTGTATATAAAATGTTTATTTAAAAATTACAGTTTGAAAATAAAAAAATAAATTATAAATATTGAATTTTAAATTTATTAAATATCAACTTTAAAAAAAAATTTATATAAATTAATTAAATTAAAATTAAAATTTAAAGTTACGTTTAATTACGTCCTTAAAGCAAACGCCCCAAAAATTAAACCGTACATGGAATTAGTTAGGCCTTTCCATAGCTTATTATTTCAATTTTTCTGTAGCTTCAAAGATTATTCGTTTATTTCTAAGCCAGTGAAATGTGAAATTGGAAACACTACCTAAAGGGACGAGCCATTTCCTACTCGTCAACTTAAAAGCATGTTCCCTTCGCTTCATTGTTAATAGTTTTAATATTACTATACACATTGCTTATCTCTATGATCTGGTACAATACTAAAGTAACTAAACTCCGAATAATTTAATACTACTACTTTAAGTTTAGTCAAATAGAACTGCGTTTCTTTATCTAGTGGGAAATCCATATGTTGCTTCCACATACGCAGAGCAGAGTCGCTTAAAAAGTTCGGTCTTGTTCTAAGTTTCCCTCGTTAACATGAAGAAAGTTTATAAATTAAGATTATTTTTCCTCCTTTTTATTGGATTCGAGCTAAACTTAATTTTTTTTCCTTATTAACCCTTTTGTTTAAAGGCAAATCTAGACAGTTATTTTGGTTTAGAAATTAAGATTTCAATATGAAAATAATATGAAAAAATTATATGAATTAAAATTTTAATAAAAATTATATATATAATTATTTTATTTTTTTATCATATAAATTATTAATATTTTATACTATATAGATAAATATTTAAATTTATAATATTGATTATTCAAAATAGAATATTTGGCTGAATAGACAAAAGAGGCGGTGCTTGCCTGGTCTTAGGGGCTCTTTATCGACCAAAACAAATCATTTGGCTCACGAATTTGCTGGTTGTCTGTCACCCACATTTCTTCAATGCCTTAACATGAAAAAATTGGCAAATCCAGCTCTGGTTTGTTGCATGCCCAAAGGTCATGTGAGTAACACGTGCCTAACATGACCTCATCATTCACTTTCTTTTTATTATTTTAAAAAAATTCATCCATTTCCACTAAAAGGAACCATCTTCACATGGACCAACCTATCAGAGAAATAGTCCCATTAATCTTACAGAAAATAAAATTTTGTTTTAAGTACTATACTTTATTAAATCATCCAATAATTCCTAATCTCTGGTGAGCTCAGGGTCACCAATAATTCAATGCCGCCTGTCACCTTCTTCTCTATATTAATATTGAAAGAACGAAGATCAAGACAAGGTTGCCAACAACTTCAACTCTCACTCACTGTTTTTTGAATTATTATTCCGTCCCATCACACCTTCCTCCCAAAGATTAAAGCTATCGGGATTCAATCCTAAAACGACCTCACCATGTGATGAAAGTCTCATTCATCCTACTGTTAAAGAAGCCGTAAGACCACCAAGAATAGTTTCTAACATCACATGTCTTGAACTTGAATATTTAGAGAAATTAAACTAGTTTAATCAAATCAAGCTTCATGTTTTGGTTAATTAATCATTCCGAACGGCTAATATACCTTTAATCTATATTAAAAAATGAGAGATAATAAGGCAGTGATGTAATTTGAAATAAAAAAAAAATGTTGTTTTGATCTCTTAAAAATGCATGCTTAAGGTCATGCACCAAGATCATCTATCAAATGTTTGGCCATAAATATTTCTTCTTATTATTTCTCAGCTACCATCACATGCCATGCCAGGTTCAGATTTTCCTCAGCAATTTCTTGCACTGGTGACTATGACCCCTGTTTGATTGCTTTCTCCACCACTTTTTTATGTCATGGTATGAAATTATAGCCCTTCTTCGCTTGCTTTTTTCAGTGTGTTTTTAAAGTTTCTTTCATGAACAAAAAAGAATACTAGTTCACATGAAATAATTGAAATAAATCACTTTCAACCAACTGCTCAAATCTCACATGAAACTTCCTTATTGATCCCGCCCTCTCAGTCTTTATATAATGCATAATTTTTCAGGTGGGTGCTTGCTGTCTTTTTAACTAGCTCACCACATGACAAATGCTGTTTGCCACGGTGATTAAAGATATCATGAGAGTACCTTTTTGTTTTGGGGGTTGCCTTTGCCTAGTGCCCTTTTGAAAATATTGTTCACTAGTGGAAACTCAAACAAGAGTTGGCCTTGAAGGTTCTTTTCGTCTTCAATAGCCTCGTTAGGTTCTGTCTAGCTTTTGTTTTTCCCAAGAAAATTTGACCTTTAGCTTCCTTCTCTGTCTCCCTACATATATTGCTTTGACTGATTTTCTTCCTATAAGATAGACATTTGGTTATGTAGGCATGTTTCAGTTTCCTATGTGAGTGAGGGTCATATAGATTGTATTTGTCTTTGGTGTGTTAGAAGATCTGGGAGCAATGGGAAAACTCAGTTTTGGCAAGATGCTCGATTGTTTATATCTGCCTTCAGGCTCTTGCTCTTGTTTCTGCATGAACACCTTGGAGGATGATGAATTAGAGAAAAAGCCGTTGATAACATCTGAAAAAATCCAGTTGCTGAGATTGAAAGATGTCGTTTCTGGCAATCAGACATTGGCCTTTCAACTTAAGCCTAAGGTAATGAATGTTCTTTTATATCTTTATTGTTTTATGTATTAGAGGATTTTCAATATGGAGGGAATTTGAGAAACTTTTTCTACTGATTTGACCTTTGCAGATGGTGGTACTAAGGGTTTCCATGCACTGCCATGGCTGTGCAAGAAAAGTAGAGAAACACATTTGCAAGCTGGAAGGTAAGCAATATATTTTCCTTTCCCTTCTGATTCCACCCCATTTTCTTCTTCAAAAGATTCATTCTTCTAACTCAAACAAAAACCTGCAATATGGTTCATCAGAACTGATGAACTATTCCATTCTTTTAATGCAAGAATGTGTAAATTCCATTTTTCAATTAATTATTAAATGATCTTGAAAGAACCTAAACAAAGTAGCAAACTAACCAAAAACAAATTATTCAAAAGCATTATAGCCTTTCATTGACCTTTTAAATCTTTTCTCTATCTTCCCCCAACTATTCCTTTTTAAATTGTGTTTTATTAGTTGGTTTAACAATTTCAGACTTTAGTAACCTAACAGACTAAAAAATAAAGCAATATATTGGCCAAAATGCATAAGGGTCATCAGTCATCACAGCTCATCCCTACAGAGCCACATTAAAATGCCATGTAATTGCATTGCTTGTGCTGCAATGAATTGCTGTTTGATTTCTATATTTGAGCTAGAAAGTTCCTTTTGGTTTCTGTCTTTGTTTTATTCCTGTAATGTAATTCATGAAAAAACAGGAGTGACCTCATACAAAGTAGACCTGGCAAGCAAGAGGGTGATTGTTATTGGTGATATAATCCCCCTTGAAGTGCTGGAGAGTGTCTCAAAGGTCAAAAATGCAGAGCTTTGGACTTCTCCTTGTTGATGGATGAACAATCTGAACATCTTTTTGCTTTCCTACGCTACCACATGCACCTTCCAAAGACCTAGAAAATGGAGAAGAAGCAAAAAAAAAAAAAAAAAACTACTTCTGTCCTATTTTATAAAGGTTTATAATACCATATATTTTATAGACATGTCAAAATTCTTGTTGGCCTGTCACCTGTGTAGAGGAGAGTGGAAGAAATCTAGGCCATTCCTTTAATTCAAATATGATCTCTTCTCCAAATTATTTATATATACATATATACGTATATATATATATATATTTATATATAAAACTGCACTACAGCTACTTAAAAGACTGTTTGTAAGCTCATCCAGGTTCTGTTTGTGCAATTGTACAATTATTACTATATTTTAATTTTCTTTTATTTTGCATAAAAGATGGGCCCGTGCAATGGTGATTGATAATTTGATACCTAAAAATACTGTTTTGCAATGCGATTTTGTCCTGATCTTAGCAGGACATGGCATGTGGTTTTAGAGTTTGAACAGTACAAACATCGAACTGGACCCATTTGGGGCAGATTCAATCCAACTTATATTAGTTGTGCATACAAAATATGTGGCTTTGAATAGAACCAAACATTTCAATCTAGCTAGTCATGGAAAAGAAAGGAAAAAAAATTGAAGGCAATACTTTCATTTTCCAAGATATTATCACACTACTACAGTGAACTTTTCTATCATTTTCATCAGTTCAAGTTTTAGCACTTTGAGTTTCATTTGGTAATTTAATTGTTGATGCTGAAGAAGGGAAATGGTCATTTTAATTAATGATATACATATATACAAACAGATATTATGTGCATGTTTCTTCTTCATCTTAAACGATACAGGCAAACATTTGCATATGCCTCAACAATTCCCAGCAATGACCCATGTTTTAGGCTTAGATACAGGTATTCACAATTCACACCATCTCAGCCCAGCCATTATTCCCACTATGTCAAACTATAAAAAAGATGGAGCCTTGTTTACAGCCTAAAGATGAACATATAATGTAAATGCCAAAGCATGCAGGAAGGTTCTGTTTGTACCTTGTACCCTCAACTGCAGGTTCCGGGGAGATAGAGAAAACGCTGTGCTCTCTGCAGCAAACAAACTAAATCAAACTCAAGATTGCCATAATTTGATGACATAGAAAAGGAAGAAAAATGGATTCAATATTTACAACCAAATATTATGGGTAACAAATAGAGAGAGCTAGTTGCCTTGGAAGTTGGAACCACAGAGAGGCAAAGGACTGAACTGGCCTTCACACAATAGTGAAATTGGAGAGCCTTCTGGCAGGCGGCCTCTGGTGAGTGGCGAGATTTTATCTGACATAGTTCAATTCTAATTAAGAGTATATATACATATATATATATATATATATATGGTATGTGTCAGGATTAAGGAATCAGGATGAGTATTCAGTGCCACCCATTTTATTCTCTTACATCACATTCCTGTTTCTTACGGTAATATAGTACATTTGTTGTCTATAAATCCTCCAATTTGAAAGGTTTTTAAGAAAAGGAATGGCTGTGATACACTTTTTTTGGCCAATGCTATATACATTTATTTATATACATATTTCATACATTCATCTAATATGCATATCTTAAAATTCTATTATAAGTTTATAACCCATAAAGATTTTAGTATTTTGCACTTAAATCCTTGGAATGAAAAATAAATATTGCATATAAGACTTTAATGCATGTAACACACGAGGGCATAGTCGAGGGGTGCAAATAAAGGCCACGATCTCCCAAAAAATTTTAACCCTCTTATAAAATTGTAACTAATCTTATAAGATATTATATTTAGTTTCCTCTTCTCTCTTGAATTTAATATGTCTCTTTTTTCAAATTTTTTAGCCTCCTATCTTTTAATTTATCAATTATTTTAAATGTACCTTAACAGATTTAGAAAATCTCTGGTGGACTATGTGTGAGAGAATTTTTTATAGCTAATTAAAATTTTAAATTTATCACTAGAGTCATGGGCCTCAAGCATGAAGTTGGACTACATAATATGGGCTATATGGAATGTCTATGGCCCTTTTTGGCTCAATTCCCAGTTCGCCGCGGAAAAACGACGGCGAAAAGGCCTGTCTTTTCGTGTTTCATGTGTAGTAAGCCCAATACGGTACCCTTTCCTCTCAATTTTGTTTTGGCGGATGAATCATTCTTGCGAAGATTCAGATTCTTCTCTCGACTTAACCTCGTCAGCACGACGGCCAAACCCAACCGTTGTCCGCTGTCTTCCCCGCTTCGTTCTTCCTCTGAACCAACCCTCGTTCGAATAAAAAAAAAAGATAATGAAGAAATCTCTCCCTTTCTTCTCGTTTCTCCTTCTCTGTATTCTACCCTTCTCCTCCCAAACCGGAGCCCCTAAAAACCCGAACCCGAAACCGCCCCTCACCCAGGCCCACACCGAGCTTCTAAGCTACGGTTTCCCAATCGGTCTCCTTCCAGCCTCGGTCCAAAATTACACTCTAAACCAGACATCCGGCGACTTCTCCGTAGATCTCGGTGGCACGTGCAAGATCACGCTACCGCCTGATAACTACCTGGCCACGTACTCAAAGCGGATAATGGGAAAAATTGACCAGGGAAAGATAGCGGAGCTGGACGGGATCCGAGTCCGGGCTTTGTTCAAGTGGTGGTCCATAACGGGGATCCATTCCAGTGGGGATAATTTGGTCTTTGAAGTTGGGATGGTTACGGCTAAATACGCGGCTAAGAATTTCGATGAAAGCCCTTTCTGTGAAGGCCAGCATTCGTCTTCTTAAGAGTCAAAGACAGGTAAATAAAAAGGTTTGACTTTTAAGCTTTGAAAATCTTCCAAGTTTCGTTTCTCTCGATTTAATTTACTTGTTCTATTGGATAAGCCTGTAAGTGAAGATTTTGGTGCTAATTGGTTTGCTTTTCGTTCTTTTCTTAGTACTATTTTCTTTTCGTTGATAATTCATTTGAAAGCGACATCTGGCGAATTTTTTTATATATTTTATCTTAGCTGAGGGATCAAAGATTGTAAACTTTTAGAATGGGTTTGAAATTTCTGCAATTTTAATGGAGTAGCTATAATTGACCTCGAATCATCACTTTGGATTGTCTAGTTTGAGGCTTGCTTGAGGTTGAATTCAACACTTAAAGTTTTAATTTTGTTCTATGGAGCTGTATAAATGAACTTATAACCTTAATGGGTATTGAAGATCAATGGCTCTTTAAATTTTAATTTTGGTAGTAGGATAAGTGGCGCTTTTTTTTCTATAGTGGTCTTTGATTTGAATCTATGTTATTGTCAGTAAGTAACATTCTTTGCCTTTACATTAGTTTGATGAAGCCTTTTCTTTAATCTAAGCTATTGTCCATTTGTATAATATAGTAATACTTACAGATCTAGAGTTGTGTTCCTTTTGGTGGTGTGATGATTATTTAATTGTTTTTAATTCCCAATCTGGATTATGTTGTTCTGGCTTTGTCGATTACTTGAGTTTGTCTCTTATTGCAATGCCACTTTCTCATTAGAGTTTTTTTTATTATTATTATTATCTGATAATCTTAATATGCATAACTAAGTGATCTGAAAAGCTTGATATACATTGCATACATTGTTGAAGTAGCTGACATAGGTGTAATTTCTTACCAAGCCATGATGTTGTTAAACTTGACTTATTTGGGCTATTAGTTTGAAGATGTAAATGCGAATGTATATCTTGTTGAATAAGCTTGTTTGAATTTTATATTTGTTATTATTATAAAATGAAAGTGAAGTTCTGTTGAATTTCCATGATCATGAATATCCAACCATAATTGAATTTGACATTTGGTCCTACTTGGAGACTTTGAAGAGAGATAAAGTTTGAAATGGATGCTTAAGTTTGATCTGTTATGAAGGCTATGGAGAGGACAAACTTTACCTACTTTATCTCCTCTAGTCCTCTTCTCTGGATGGTAATGAAGACAGGAGTTCTATCCTACTAGCCATAAATTGGGTTATATACCTTCACTTTTGCTGTCCTATTTTGGCAGATTCAAATTTCAAATGTCACGCTTTCAGAAGATATCTTGTTATTGACTGACTTTATTTTGGTTTCCCGCTTGATTTAGGCTTTGTCTTCAATGATACCTGTGTTGAAAGTTTGATAATTGTGAACAAGGAGGATAAATTAATCTGCACATCTCACATTGTTTCATCTCTAATCTAGTAATATACAATAAGATTTTACCATGACATGCACACTGCAGGAAATTTATATTTGAACCATGGGAAGAAACCATTCTTCATATTATCATGCATCAATATCCAAAAGATATCATTGAGCAGATTTTTACTGGAATGATAGATTGGGGCTGATAGTGCGATAATTATTTATCTTCCCATTTGGTGTGAAGTACAAATCTACAAGTTTTAATTGATTGTCTGTTTTATCATGCTGTCCTAACATGCTAGTTTTCATTTTCTTTGCAGGGCATCCTGACAAGGATTAAATTATTGTGTGTCCTGTTTAATTGTAAGATGTAATGTATTTATGTATATGTATGAAGGATTTTTGCACTAGTGTTATCTTCTCTTTGTATCAGGTCTCGATCATCTAAGCTCTCTTGGATGTTTTTTAAAACTAATCATGCAAAAATTCTCCCTTTCTCCAAGCCTGTTATTTTTTCTTGTGAGTAAACTTACTTTTCCTTCTTGTGCATGGTGTCAATGTGCATAAATATGGTCATTTGAAACCAATTCTGCGAGCAAAGTTGGCTGGAACCCTCAAGTTTCTAACAGCACAACTAACAAGTTCATTTTTGTTGCATTTTCATGTGGTAACAGGCTGCAGTAACAGAAAGTTACAAACCATATTTTGTTTTGTGTTTCATTTTTCAACTCAATAATAAAAATAAAACTGACAAACAACATTCAGGCACATATGCACTTCTCTTTACTTGTTTTAGATATCTTTTCCAGTGTTGAAACCGCCACTACCAGGGGGAAGGGGAAGCTTCTTTATTTTGTAACCCTCTATCTAGAAACTTCTATGTGAATCAGGATACGGCAGCTGAGATTGTTGCACCCGTAACCATTGGCTTTTTTGGGTCTTCCACATTGGAAGACTCAGCAAACAAACTGCAGCTGCAGTCTGTGATTTGGTTGTTAATACTTTAGCTATGTATCACCGACTCTTTTGTCACGACTACCAATAATAAATTTGAACCCTACTGTCACCAGCATTACAAAAACCTTTTTTTTTTATATGATGTTTTATAATTTTCTAGTGAAAATGTGAATGTAGGTAGTACTGAAAAGTATTCATAAATTCAACGGAAGATAAATATTTTATGAATATATTATCCAGTCATAATTTAAAGCATGGGCTAACTGCTAAATGGATCTTAATAAAATTTCTCCTTATTTTAAAATATTTATTATGTTTCGATTTCTATAAAATTAAAAAAAAATTATTTTAATATATTTAATATTAAATTTTAATTTTTTTTATAAATTTAAAGTTTTATAATTTTTAATATCAAAAAATAAAAAAAATTTAAATATAATTTTAAAATATAAAAAATAAAAATTTTTATATTGTAAAAAATAAGATATAATTTTAAAATATCTTTAAGAAAATAAAAAAAATAAGACAGATGAAATAATGATTTTTCAATAACCATAGAGTGAAAATGAGAGATTATCATATTTTCAGGGGTGAAAAAAATAAAAAAAACAATCAAAATTCGATTTGAGTATATACTATTTGCTTCAATTTAAATCAATTTTTATTTGGTTGGAATTAAATTTGAATATTAAATATATATATTAAGTTTAGATCATAATATAAAAAATTAAATTAAATTGAAATATATATTTTTTAATATATATTTTAAATTTTTATAAAATAAAATTAATAATTTTATAAACATTTTTATTTAAATATATTAAAATAATATATAAAAATTAAAAATTAATAAATCGAATTAAATTAATATAATTTAATTTAATTTGATTTGAATAAAAAATTAAAATTAAAATTTAAAAATTTATAATATTATATAATATTTTTAAAAAATCAAATTATATTCAATGCCATCCAAATTACTATCACCCCTAATATTCTGTTAGGATCCGCAACTTCACTAAACAATCCATCAGTTTTTTGGATTGGTCGGTAGAAAAAGCCAATAAGAAAAAACAAAAAATTTGCCAGTAGATACACTTCCCAGGAATCCAGAGAGCTTTTTCACCCCTTTATGTTATGGCTAGCTATCAAATACTAGTATGTTAGCTGCACGGTCACATCTAACAAATTTTTTTTTTCGTTTGGTTCGTAGGACAGACAGTACTACAGCAGTTATGTCTTCTACTTTAGCTTTTGCATGCTGTGATACAATGAATACTGATAAAGACTTCCCAGGTCCAGTCCTTTGCCAACTAACAGCTGCAGCTTTCCTTTGCCAACTAACAGCTGCAGCGTTTTTTTTGCCAACGCCAACCAAGTACCACAGCTCATAAATTGCGTATGGTAATGGATAAGGTCTGAAAGGAACAAGTTTTTCTGCTCTGATTTCGAGTTGATTTTATAAAATTAAAATTCGATTTCAACATTAAAACATCAATATTTTTATTTTATATTCAATGTATCACATTGAATTTAATTTTATTCAAAATTAATTTAATAATTTATTGTAGTATTTATAAAATATTATTTTTAATATAAATTATATTTTTAATTATATATAAATATATTATTTTTATTGAATTAATATTTCAAATTAAAATATTAAATAATAATTTTATTAATATAATATATAAAAATATAAAATTAAGTAAATAATAAAAAATATTATATATATCATATCGATCACAATAGATATACCTAAAACGTAACTCTTATCAAATCCTAATCTTAAAAAAATTCAACCCAACTTAAAATTTGATTTAAAATAATATTATAAAATTGATTTGCTTCTTAGAACTGGACTTTTCTCTCAATTTAGACCAAAAAAATAAAAAAAACTGTCATTGTTTTCAAAACCCTAAAACCAACAGATTCTTTTGACTCATACTTTGAAAGTTAACCTAATTTTCCAAGCACATGGATTCAAAGAACCTGCCCATCACAAACAAAAAATAAAAAAATCCCCAGTCATTATCATCACAAATTAAAGGAAAAAAAAGAAAGGAATTTGTGTTTAATTTAATCAGTTTATATAATTATTTTTAAAAATAATATTTAATAAATATATTATTTAAATTCTACATCTGTCAGCCTCTTTTCTGTTCTCAAGCCAGCTAAGGCATTTTGGATAAAAGAAAAACGTGTTAAGTGGATGAGAAGCGGTAGTAATATTTCATGTGTAGATATAATGGTCAACAAAAGGCGACAATTTCTTCACCTGCCCTAGCGTTTCGTCCAAGAATTACCTTGAAGTTTAATGGAGAAAAAAAATAAAATCAAACTATAATAAGTGTAACAATTAAAAGTCACTTTAAATATTATGATTCATTACAATTAATATTAATATTAATTAATTAATTAATTAATAATTAAAATTTATAATTATTTTTATTTTTCTTCATGATTATTAAAAATAATAATACAAAGATGGAGAAAAAAATTGCAATTGATGAGATTACACGTCAAAAATACTGAATTAATTTTCATGGATGATATCTTTCTTAATTGAATTAAATAAATATTAAAATTAAAAATAATAAAAAATTAAAAAAATCCATTTTAATAAGAAATCGTTCGTATTTACTCTTTTGTCAACAGTTTAAAAACAAAATAGATTCCCCAATAAGAGAAAAGAGCCTCTTTGTTTAACCCAAAAAAAGGCCAGAAAAGTGGCCTTGATCCAACGGTCCTAAACGTCGAACAATTAATTTGACAACTAATTTTTTTTGTCAAAAACCCTAAATTCGTAAAATAATAAATAAAATAAAAATAACCTACGGATAAAACAACCTATCACTCGCTACCACAGTCGCTCTTCAATCACGCATCAATCAGAAAAACAGACAGTGCTTCACGTACTTTTTCTGCTCAGGCAAAACATAACACTGTCCTGCTCTTCAAGAAACAAACGCGCTTTCACTCGCGCGTGAGTCTCCACTGAACCTCTAAGCTCCCAAGCGTTTGCAGGTGGTACAACTTTCTCTTCTCTCTCCTCAAAATCCAACTAACAACGAATAGATTTTCTATCGCTCTATGGATTCAAAGGAAAAAAAAAACGGTTTTGGCTTCGTTGAAACCCTAGGTTCCTCCCCATTATGCGAAGGTAATGATTTTCTCTTGTATTTGTTTTTCCTTTTAGTTGTTTTCTTTTTTGAAAGTTATTATTTTTTATTTGTTCAGATCCATTCTCGTTTTAGTTTTGGCTCTTCTCTTCTAACTTCCTTTTGCTTCTGTACAATTACGTTCCTTTTTTTCGTACTGTTAACCGCTTTAAAGTTACACTTTTTTTTATCCTACATTTGGTTTTCATTGTTTTTGAATTATTATTGCTTTTTATTTTAATGTGTTTTTTTTTCTTCTTGAGCTTATTCGCTGTTAAATTCACAGGCATTCTTGTTATTTTGTTTTTTGATAAAAGCTTTTCTTCATTTTTTTGTATTATTTTCTCATTTTTGTACTAAATGTTCATGATGTAAAGCAATCAATTTTTGTTTTCCAGTTGTTGAATGGAGCTTGCAAATGTGGTGAAAAAGTTTAAATCTTTTTTAATTTTCAAATCGCCAGTTACTGTCGTTTTTTTTTTTGTTAAACTGCATTGCAGAAACAGAAAATGGAAGAATAAAATTCAAATAAAATTGAATTTTCCTTCCACATGCAGAAAGGAGGAAAGCTTTATTTATTTATTTTTATTGGGAATTTACTGGTATGCTGAGGGTCAAAACTGATTAATTTTGACAGAGGGGAGAGCTAAGATTTCCGGGTTTCTGGATTGAAGTTATGGATTTAAAAGATAAATAACTTGCTAAAGGTATGACCTTCATATTCGCTCTGTGTTATTTTCTGTAACTGCCTGCTTTTATTTCTCTATATGTTGCACACTGAATCCTTGTTCTTAGAGGAGACTGTTTGTCGAAGCAGAGTAATAAGATAGTTATGTCACTCTAGCTTTATGTCGTGATGTTTGTATTGTTGTTTCTCATTCTTTCAATTATAAAGCTTTATGTTGTAGTTCCTAATGCTTCTTTCCTCTGCAGTTTCTGGCTTACAAAGTCTTTCTTCCTGTGTGCAAAGCACCCCAGAGAAAATGGCCATTCAGATGATGCTTTAGGAAGTCCAGAACTCCTGCAGGAGTTCCTGAAATCTGGTCCAAGAAAGGAGCTTCTTCGAACCTCATTTGCTAAGGTGAAGAAAAATTCAGTTTCATCAAAGGGCAAAATGACTGAAGCTTTAAAGTCCGGTAACAAGACAATAAAGAAGTCGGAGTCTAGAAAGGTCTCATCCATTGCCAACAGTCAGCTGTCCTCTAGGAAGCAAAGCAGAAAAGGGGAGAACCCGATGAGGTTGCTCCCAGCTTCTGAGCAGCCTTCGGATCTTGGATTTTCTAACTCATGGATATGTAAAAATTCTGCTTGCAGAGCTGTCCTGTCCATAAATGATACATTTTGCAAAAGATGCTCATGTTGTATCTGTCACTTATTTGATGACAACAAGGACCCGAGTCTTTGGTTGGTATGCACCTCTGAATCTGGCGAGGGGGATTATTGTGGGTTGTCATGCCATATTGAGTGTGCTCTTCAACGTGAGAAGGTGGGGGTTGTTGATCTTGGCCAATTGATGCAGCTAGATGGTAGTTATTGTTGTGCTTCTTGTGGTAAAGTTTCAAGTATACTAGGGTAAGTAATTGGCTTGCAGCTTATGGCTCATTCAACTTGCCAATTCCAAATTCTGTCCTCTCCCTAACCTTACGAACTGCATTTTTATTTGCCTAGAAGTTGTTACAAGTCATGTTTCAAGTTCGGTCTGGTAGAAATCTTAATTGATCGCAAAATTTATGTGCTTTATTTGTCTTCAGAGCGTCCATGTTTATCATTGTGTCAAATTTTGGTTAGGAAGATGGCGAAATCATTTTCCTTGTTTTTTTTAGCATGAAAGAGACATTTCCATCAACATACTTATTGCTACTCGTAACAAATTTGATGTTGGAAAATGATCACAATGTGATGAATCAGGTTTTAGAGAATTTAATAACTATTGTTATTTCTATCTTTCTGGTATAATTTTTCAGCTTTGGCTGACCGGATTGGTGTGATTTGCCTGCTCCTGGCAGATATTGGAAGAGGCAGCTAAGTATAGCTAAGGGTGCTTGCCGCCTGGATGTACTTTGTTATAGAATATACTTGAGTTACAGACTCCTAGATGAGACTTCTCGCTTTAAAGAACTGCATGAGTTTGTGAAAGATGCAAAGGCCAAGCTAGAAACAGAAGTGGGCCCTATGAATAGAGTTTCTGCCAAAATGGCACGGGGAATTGTCAACTGGCTTTCTGTCGCTGGTGATATACAGAAACTATGCTCTCTTGCTATTGAAAAAGCAGATGAATGGCTGGCGACCATGTCTAATACTGATACAAAGTGCCAAGGTTAGAACCCTCAATTTCTTCTTCTATTCCTCCTATTGGTTATTTTGAAGTTAGTTATATGAGCAACTTTTTCCTTTTGCTTTTGGGCAGATTCACATCCTGCTTTTTGCCGGTTTCTATTTGAAGAAGTGACGTCGTCATCTGTTGTAATTATTCTAATTGAACCGTCTGCTGCATCATCTGATGATATTAAGGGTTACAAGCTCTGGTATTTCAAGAGTCAAGACGAGTCGCATACAAAAGAACCTATATGTGTCTTTCCAAGAACTCAGAGAAGGATTTTGATATCGAATCTGCAGCCTTGTACAGAGTACAACTTTCGTATTGTTTCTTATACTGAAGCTGGTGACTGGGGCCATTCTGAGGCTAAATGTTTCACCAAGAGTGTAGAGATAATTCACAAGAAACCTAATTCAGCAGCTTTCATAAGTCAGAAGAAAGATAATAAACTCATTGAAGGAAGTTCTTTAGGTTCAAATAAGGAGCTCACAGCCGTTGATTCTTCTGGATTCAAGGTTCGAGACCTCGGAACGATGCTGCGTCTTGCTTGGGTTCAAGAGCAAGGCTGCTTTGAAGGGTTTTGCAGCGCTGATATAGAAAAATGCTGTGGAGCTAGCGAAATTATTAAGCCTGAAACTCGAGTAGAGGATCATGTGCCATCTATTTCACGTGGGTTTGACTTAAATGTTGTCTCAGTGCCTGATCTAAATGAAGAACTAACTCCTCCATTTGAGTTCACAAGGGATGAAGATAATGGTTGCACTTTAGAACAGGCTATGGAGGCAGATGATGACGCTGCTTCGCATGAAACAGAAAATAATGGATTAGCCAGATCACATGGTAGTGGTGATTCCCAGACCTGGACCAATGGGCCAACAGGGGAAGTGCCTGCTGTTGATTCCCATACGGAGTTGTGCAGGAAAAGGGCAGTAAACTCAAATGAAGATACACATGACTGTGATAGCACTCTTATAAATGGGTCACCATTTCGAATCTCCAATGATTCAGGTTCCTTAGATGAGAATTTCGAGTCCTGTGTGAAGATAATCAGATGGCTAGAATGTGAGGGTCATATTAACCAGGAATTCAGATTGAAATTACTAACATGGTTTAGCTTGAGGTCAACGGAGCAGGAACGTAGGATGGTCAACACATTCATTCAAACTCTAATCGGTGATCCGAGTAGCTTGGCAGGCCAGTTGGTTGACTCATTATCAGGCATCATATCTAGCAAGAGGCCACGTAATGGATTCTGTAGTAAGCTGTGGCACTAAATTTGTGCAGGGCATTCTAAACAACAGGATTGCTATTTGCTTCATGATTATTCTTTTTATTGTTATAAACTTAACCCTGATTGATTCACCAACTTTGTACAGGCATTTTTTCCTATTCACTTTCTAAAGGTGATTCTTTGTATTGCGTACTAGATTGTCCTGCTAAAAGATTTGCGTGACACAATTCCCATTTTAATTGAAGGGGGACCTTGCCCTTTGGACGTGAGGTTTCATCTTTTTGGAAGGCTTATTTTTTTTCAGTTTCCTAATCTAAATTTGAAGCAGTCGACTTTTAATCATGGAGAAGGTTTATGTATGGATGCTTTTGTTATTGCCTTCTTTAATTCAAAGAAGGGTATATGAATTAATCTCGAATTATTTTTGGTTCCTTTTTTGTTCTTCAGTTTTCCTTTTCCACCCATGAACGAGAGTTGAGAATTTTACATCTTACTCTTTTACTGGTATTAATCTGTTCGCAAATTACTATTTGCTAGTTCATTCAAATGAACAAAAATGAAGATGGGTTTTTTCACAAATGCATTAAAGAAAGGAAAAAAAAAAACGAAAAAAAAGGTGGGAAAATTTTGAAATCTTGTACACACTTGAAACGGTGTAGCTTGGTCTTGAAAGATTAGATTTTGATCATTGGGAGAACTGAAACTTATCCAAAAGCTGCCTCTATTGAGGGTGATACTACCTACCTTATCCAAACCAAAATCCATGAAGGCAGAAACTTTCTCTTGCTGCTTTATTAGAACAATAAAAACATGTGCACTGTTCTTCTTTTCAAGCCCGATAGATTTTTTTTTTTTTTTTAAGCCGGGAACATTGGGCCGGAAGCATGATATTGTTGTGTGCTTAATGGTAGGTAGAAAAGTAATTATTTTTGTTAATGGCATTTTTAAGTTTAAAAGATACGATAGGATTTTTTTTTAATAAGAGATTGTCGGTAAATAATCTAAAATATTTTTAATTTTTAAATTAAATTAAAATGTTATGTCAATTTAATTTTATATGATCATGTCAATTTGATTATCTCATCAATTTACTTAATAAATCTCTTAAATATTAATTTATTATTTTCAAAATAAATGATTAATATCTAGATTAACTCGATTTATTTAATCATCTCAAACCTTATACTAACCTTAGGTAATCAGAATTAATCTTACGCAATTTAAATTGTCGATATTTCTTCTTTTTACAAATGTAAATAAAATTATTCAGATATCAATTTACTATTTTATTTTCTTCTAATTTTCTCATATTCTTCTTTCTATTATACAAACGTTGAAATTATTTTTAATTATTATCTTTAACCATTCTCTTTCTCTCTCTTACTGATTTCAGGTTTTATCCTTAGCAGTTCAGTTCGACACCAATAATTGTGTCTGTGTTTACATGTCTTATGGGTCTTTTTGCAATTCGTCTTTTGGCAACCACCCAAAACATCCATATCCCAAGTTCTGTGGCTGTGAAATCCGCAGTTTGCCCACTCCTTTTGTGTTGCAAAGTCAGAATATAACCCATTTTCTCCTAAAAGCTTGGATGTATGCAAGTAGGGCATGCTTAATTTGGTCTCTGAATTAAAGTGAAATAATTAGTTCAATAAATATTTATATAAAGATTTTCCCCTATTCCATTTTACCATCCTTTTTCAGTAATATATATATATATATATTTATATATCTCCTAAGATGCTAGGAGCAGGCAGATGATCAAGTCATGTCGCCCAAAGAAAACCTTTCCACCAATCCACACCCATTTTTTGCCTAATATTGGTGGTTTAAGAGTAGGATTATTGCTTTAGATGTTTTCTGGATTTTATTTTAAGTCATCTAAATTTTAATTTGGTCGTTCGCTGCTTATAAATTTTTATATTTTCACGAATTTTTTCTTTTCTACCAAGCCCTAAGACTCTTTTATGAGCAAAGTTTGAGGTGCCATTGAAAGAAATGTCAAATTTTTTTTATCCTCTGGTTCTAGTATGAACAGCAATTACCTTCACAAATGACAAATCCATCAAGGCCATAAGGGTTAGGGTACCCGATTCAGAGGAAGAATTCCTTCTGCATCCTGCAACAGTAGGACGAAATGACCGCTCTACCCGAAGTTTGGTAAGTCGTTTTTCTTTTTTTTTTTTCGAATAATGAATTGATTTTATATAAATCTTTCTGGTTGAAGAATAAATACATTACAAAAACGCCTGCTATAAAAATGGTCGGTAACGATGATAATATTGCCCATTCTTTATGTTTATCATTTTTTCAGAAACAATAAGAGCAACAACTGGGTGAGTTTGAGTTAAATAAAAGCACATATACAAGACACATACAGGTTTCATATAGATAGGCAGAAATGCATCATAAATTTAGCAATCTAAATGGTATTCTAGACCATTTGACTAAGGATTATAGCAAACAAATTGTTACTTTCTAGGAAGAAAAAATGTCCTTGACAAGTCCTCCTGCATGGTGGAACTCAGCTGTCACCATGTCTTTGTGCTGGGCCTTCTCTCCTCCATTTTTTTTTTAAATTTAGTTTCATCCTTTTTTCCTTCTCTTCGGTCTTCTTTTTCTTTGTTTGAAACAGGATGAGTGGACTGGGGAGCAAAAGCTTCAGTATGGTGACATTCCGGAAGATACCCGTACCTGAAGAAATTTGGCCTACAAGTCAATAACGTGGCCAGACGGATTTAGCCACGTGACACCCGTACCTGAAGAAATTCGGCGTACAGGTCAATAACGTGGCCAGATGGATTTAGCCACGTGACTTGACTTACTCAATGTTTCTTTTGCAATGAATGACTATGATTTTTGTTACATTTCTACAGACTGATATGGGGATGCTATTACAAGGCAAGAGATCGTCAAACTACTAACCTAATGCCAACAATTAGATAACTAAGAGATCAACATCAGTGGGGTCCCAGCAAGTTTGATTTTCAATTAAAAAATTTGTTTGTTTAGTAAAAAAATGAATTTTTAAAAAATAATTTTTTGAATTAAAAAAATTTTGTTATTTAAATGAATTAATAAAAAATATTTTTCGTTATTTGATTTTTTAAAATTTTTTTTCAATAATATTAATACAACTATTAAAATTATTTATTATTAAAGTATATTGAAATTATTTATTATTAAAATTATTAATTTTCAAAAATAATTATATTTTAATAATAATATTTAATATTAAAATATTTAAAATAAAACTATTTATTATTTTTATATTATTTATTAATTTATTATAATATTATTTCTTAATAATGTTTATTAATATATTATATTAATAGTATATTATTTATTAATATATTACAATATTAATTAATATAATATTATTTTATTTATATATAATATAACATTTATTAATATATTATAATATTATTTATAAGTAAATAAATAATTTTACTCAAATAATTTATTAAAATTTTTTTTAAATTCATAAAGTAATTATAAAAAAGTGACTTATTTTTTATTAATCAATAAATTATTTGTTATTTATCAATTAATTTTTTATTAAATAAATATTTAAAAATATAAAAAAAAATTAAAAATTAATTTTCACGAAACAAAAGAACTCAGAAACACCATTTCATAATTAGTACTAAACTTGACGATGGAGTAGCCAGTATAGAAACAAACAAGCCTTATGCCCCAAACGAGCCTGTTGAGTCAAATGAACTAACTGAGGCTCATGAATGACTACTTATGCACCTAAAGTTCCAATCCATAATCCAACAACTTCTACCTTTTTTGGCTTGCATCACCATGATGTAGCCATTGCTATCTTCTCCAAAGTATTGCTTATCTTTTTCAATAAATTACAGTAATATGTAGTTTTCTGATGGGTATGCAAGAAAACAACCCCAAAAGACTTTTCTTCTATCTGGCTAATCAATTCGAATTATAATTCACATATATTCTAGCAAAGGTCAGACTATGGCCCCGTTGGTGTACATGTATTTCTTTATTTATCCAGTTGAATTCAAATTTTTTTTAAATAATATTTGATAAAAAAAATATATCAAGTTGGTCGTCACTATTTTCAACAAAATTGGGTTTATTTCATAACCGCTGATTCCGTTGATATCCACATATTAGTTGGTTTGTCATTTTCTTCATTCTCAGGGGACCTATAACATGATAGCTGAGTCCACTATTCTCTGGTTTCTGGCACGGCAAAGTTTTTTTTTTTGGGTTTAAAATCATTGCTAAAGCCGAACTCAGCCAATAGATTTGGGCAATAAATTCATTATTTGTGAAGTCTTTGAAGTGGGTCAAATTACTGGTTTGAATGTAATGGAATTAGATAGGTGGCCAAGTATAGTAAAGAAATTAAAGAAGGGTTAAATACAAAAAAGCTTATGTATTTTGTACTTTCTGTTAGATGGATATATAAAGAAATAAAATTGTAATTAGATCTTTGAATTTTCGTTTCATTATTGTTTGTTTCTTCAAACGTCATTCATCAAGTTGTTGACGTAATATTAATATTACACGTAAAAAAATCTAATAATTGTGATATTATAATTATTACATCAATTTAAACAAAATTTCAAAAAATTAAAAAAAATATTTCAAAAAAATATTTTGATTATTTTTATTAATTTAAAAATTTTTAATTTTTTATAAATTTTAAATTTTTTATAAATTTTTAATAATTTCTTTAATTATTTACGTGATAATGATAATATAACAATAATTGAATTTTTTGAGACGTATCATGATTTATTAGGTATTAATATTTTATTATTAATCTAAAATATTAAAATGTATGATGAAATAAAAATTTAAATTTTTTTTTAAAATTTTATTTTTTAAATATTAAATTCAGAGCAAATATATAATACAAGAAATATTTTTGTATTTAACCCATTAAAGAAAGAGGGAATGGTGGGTGGGTAAACGCAAAGAGAACTCAAGTGAATATTTTGATGAGGCGGGTGAGAGTTGGACTTATCCTCCATCTCCTCTATATCCAATCAAAACAATAAACACTCTTCACTACAAGACAAACGGTTTCTTTTGTGTCTGACCTCATTTCTACCCCACGTGTCTTTTGTGTCTGACCTTATTTCTACCGCGCGTGTCGTGTCCCACGCATCCTTTTCTTTGTGGTCCTGCACCTTTCCCTCCCCAACCCAATTGTGAAGCGGGTAGGATTTGGATAATAGGTATCCAGGTGGAATTTGTGAAAAAATTTTATTAAAAATAATTAATAAAGGAAAAAATTTTGTTATATAAATTAAATGTGTAAATTTTAAAATTTTTTAATAAATTTTGATATATATTTTATATAAATATTTTTAATAAAAATATTAATAAAATTTTTATAATTAAATTAATATCGAACGAATTTAAATAGTAAATAATTTTTTAAATAATTTTATTTATTATTATTAATTTTTATATTAAATTTTATCAATTTATTAATTTAAATTTTTTATTAAATTATTTTTAAAAAAAATTCATCAACTTTACCCAAAAAAAACTTTATTATTTATCCATTGTGAAGCTAAAGTAAATTATTGATAAAATGTTGGTTGTTTTGTAATTTTAATAATTAAAATTTAGTTTTTGATAATCTCAAAATGTACTCTTGAAAAAAAAAAGATCCTTTTTCTCTTTTGTTTTTACTTGAGAAAAGCTTGTGAAAAATCTAAAACAAATAAATGTAATAACCATATTTTCAATGGTTTCTCTCTCTTTTTTTTTTTTTTTTCTTTGACATTATATCTCTATGTCCTATATAACCCAGCCTAGAGCAACAGCAGACAACACCAAAAATCAGCTTCAGCTCTCTCTGATCTCTCTGCCCAACACTCTCCGTCATTCTATATCCTGCTGCTTAATTTCTGCCAAACATGGTGACGAGTCTTCAAGCAGCCATGAATGCAAGAATAATTGGGTCTGGCAATGAGACCATGGTTCTTGCACATGGTTTTGGAGTAGACCAGTCTGTCTGGGACAAAATCCTTCCTTACTTGACACAGCATTACCAGGTTGTCGTTTTTGACTGGACCTTTTCAGGAGCTGTAAAAGATCCTAACCTCTTTGATCCTTTGAAATACTCTTCCTATGATGCCTTTGCGAATGACTTAATAGCTCTTATGGACGAGCTAGACTTGAAATCCTCAGTCTTTGTCGGCCACTCCATGTCTGGTATGATCGGATGCATTGCTTCCATTAAAAGACCCGATCTTTTTAACAGGCTTATACTTGTTGCAGCTTCTCCTAGGTATTTCTTTCCTTTCCTTTCTTTTTTCAAATAAAAAAATGGTTTTTATTCTTAGAAAATTTTCTTTTCTTTCTGCTTCTCTTATATCTTTTATTTACCTGCCACCTGCTGATTTATTCTGCATAATCACAGCTTTTCTTTATAAACAATATACAGTTTGAAGCATACACTTGATCAGGTTCTTCTATTAAGCAAAGCCGCACGCTTTCTTTTTGGCCAAGAAGACGTGTTTCAATATTTTGCAACATCAATATTCTTCCATATATTTCTCTTCTTTTTCCTCTTTCCATTATTCCATTCTTCCTTTTCATATGTTTACTTTTAATCATCTTTCGCCATTTTCTTCCTTGCCATGCAACTAATACACGACTTTAATTACTAACTGACAAGATTTATCTTTTATACGGTATAAGTCAATGATAAAGCTGTGGTTAGATGTGCGAAATCTTAAATATATATAGTAGGAATTTATTTACTTTAACATACGTATTACATAATTTTTTTATTTTTAAATCAAAATTAAATTTATAACACTTACATTTAATCATTTTGATTTAAAAATAAAAAAATGTGTAATATTTACAATAATGTAAGTAGATCCTACTCATATATATATATATATATATATATATATGCATATATATACATATATGCAGAGACGATGCGTAATAAGAATTGGCCCCAAAATTTTTAATATATTTATATATATATATTAAATCCATTTAGATTAACTATAAATTAAATTTGTTAACTTTTTTTTTTGGTTTTATTATTTAATCTTTTGCTTTGTAATTTAATAGTTGTTCAAATCATATTAATATTTGTTCATTTATTATATTCAATCATTATTATTTATAAATTCTTAAAATTATATAAGAGGTTGAGGCTTCTTATAAATTTTAAATTACAATCACGTGAATTTAAAAAAAGTTATTAAATTTTCTAGTTTTTTAGATGAAACTCTATTACCAATCAAATATCTAATTTATCTTCTCTTTCCTTTCTTTTTTTTGGGGTACACGAGACCGAAGTATAGGGGATTTAGGGAAAGAGAAATTGTAAATTTTAAGAATTGAACTCTAACATGATATCCTAAAAGTTAAGTAAATCATATGGATTAAGTCCTAAGATCCTTTTTCTTTTTAGCTTATTTCAACTTTTCCTCTCTGTATCACTTTTTACTTTTATTTTTACTTTAGATCTCATAATTTTTTTCAATAAAAAATTATATTTGATTTACTTTACAAAAAAAAATAGCAGAACACCATAACTTTTAATCTCAAAATTTTATTATATTCTTAAAAAAATACATTTAGGTTTTTTTGTTTTGATAAAATATTTAATAATTGATTTATTTGTACATATTTTTTATTTCAATTTTTAATTTCCAAAAAGATCAAAAAAATTTTTATAAATCATAATAGAAAGTATATTTAGTAATTCCAATTTTATTATTGTTAAAAATAAAATATTATCACAATAATATTTTTGTTTTATAATGTTAGTAACTCATATTTTTTATTAGTATATTATTTTCATATATATTAGTAAATATGATAAAATATTTCTTTTGAAAAATAAAATAAAATATTTTATATATTATTGCTTGGTTTTTTCAAAATTAAATGTCGAAATCTGTCTTTGTATAAATATATATATATATATATATTTATATGAACAAAGGATGGGTACACGAGATCTTGTGAATTTTTATTACAATCTTATAATTATTTAATTATAATAAAATCTTATATAAAACTTCATCATTTATAAATATAAATTATATATAATATTTTGATAGATACTATATAATTTTAAATTTTGATCCTAATCTTTGAGGATAGATTCTATATTTTGTCGTGTACTTTTCTGCTTCAAAATTTGTGTGGAGGATGCAACTCAAGACATAGTACTACGTATTTCAGTATCTCGAACTATTTCTGTCCCCAATAATACAATGACTAGTGCTCAGCAGACAAGTACAAGGACATGCAAAGGCTTTGGATTCGATTAAATTAACTTATCTTCCTTTTTACTTACTTTTTATTTGACATTTTCATATAACAAGCCAAACACAAACTTGGATATTCCTTTATGATAGGTTAGTTACTTCATGGCTAAATTTTTTTAAATTGTACTGTATTAAAATTCAATATTTTTATTTAATTTATGCAATCATCGATAAAGTAAACATTTCATAACTTTAAAACTTAAATTTTAATATTTACAATTCATTTTATTATTTAATTTAAAAATTGTACTATAATACGTGGGTTAATTAATAATGTAAAAAATATATTCACTTATCAATTGAATATAAACTTGCATGTATGAAATCCTATGTGTATAGTTTTTTTTTTTTTATTAATTTTTCTCCTGTTTCTACTTAACACAGGTACATTAATATAGATGATTATGAAGGTGGACTTGAGGCTGCAGCTATTGACAACATCCTCTCAAACATAGAATCCGACTATGAGAATTGGGCATCAAGTTTTGCTACTCTTGCTGTGGACGATAAGGATCCCATCACCGTTGAAAAGTTAGCAAAGTGCTTGAAGGCGATGAAACCTGAATTCGCCCTTCCCTTAGCCAAAACAGTGTTTCTCTCCGATGAAAGGGATATTCTTGAGAAGGTTACCACTCCCTGCACCATTATTCACACCACCAATGACATTTTCGTGCCACAGTCAGTTGCCTACTACATGCAGAAGAAGATCGAAGGGGAATCAACCGTGGAAATTGTCAAGCGTGATGGCCATTTCCCTCAGTTGACTGCGCATCTTGAGTTCCTTGGTGTGCTTGGTGGAGTTTTAGGCTTTGAGATTTGATCAGAAAAGGAAGATACGGTCAGAAATAAATATATGGCCATTTGGATATGTACTGTTGTGTATTTATGACTTTAGTATGGGCCAAAGGGGATATATCATATGTGGTTGGCACGTGTAGAATATTATATGTAGTGCTTTAAAATAGTTCAACCAATAAAAATATGAAATATGTCATGTCGTTCTAGTTTTTAAATTTTAATATGAGAGAAGAGTATAATTTATATCGGTGTAATTTTTTTTTAGTTTTCTTTTTTTTTTTTTATCATTGATTTCAATAATAATAGTGAATGAGAGGTACAAGTAAAAAAAAAAAAGATTAATCTTATCTTTTAGATTTATTAAAATCAATAATTAAAAAATTATGTAAAATTAAAAAATTTTACGCTATTGAAGTGAATCTCTGCTTAATAAATAATTCAAAAATCTGAAAAAAAATATTTATAAAATATAAAAAATAAATATAAAAAGAGTAAGACATGTGATAACTTTTTAATTTAATTTGGAGAGTTAAAAAATATCAAAAATGAACTTTGAAGACACTAACAAACCAACGTATAATTGAAAGAAATTTAAGAAAATAAGAAAATCATACATTAAGGACATTTTTTTTAAAATATTAAAATGAAGCCTCATAGCTAGACAATCATAATCCTGAACCTAATTGAAAAGAAAAGAATTGGCTCAACCCAAACTTAAATAATACGGTTTCAATCTGAACAACTAAACCAGAACCGGCCCGCTCCATTGACCCAGTTCCAACCTATATCTTCTACACAGCCCAAAAGAAAAGGCTTGGAGAACGTATTAACTTGGACGAACAATCATGGCTCAAAATAATCTGCCCAATGGGCTTAATATTGTCGAATTGTTCCAGGAGGGCTTAGAGGCGAACCGGACGGAACGGGAAAAAGATCTCCCGAAATAATGTCGCTTTTACTTGGGAGTGAAAACAGTCGCACTCATCAAAATAAATAAAAACTAGGAAAGCATGAATTGCTTCTCATTGTCTAAACTCGCGACTAGATCTTCGTTAAAGTTTCCACTATTCTTGTTCCCGAACAAGCCCATTACACCGGCGGTTATCACCGCTGCTCGCTTTCCAAGTCTCGCTCCTCGATTCCGCCTGTTCTCTAATTACAGCGACGCCTCGAAGTCTTCGTTCGGAAGCTTTTCACTCTCTAATCGTGATCAAAACTTCTCTACCATGGCTGGCGCTGAAGAGTTTGTTAAGGGAAATGTTTATCCAAACGGCGTCGCGGTCATCACTCTCGATCGTCCCAAAGCCCTAAACGCCATGAATTTAGGTCCTTTCGTTATTTCTCCTTCATTTCCTTTTAAATTTGTCCTTCTTTATTATTATTATTATTATTATTATTTCAATTAATAAGTTATTGTATGAGTTAAAAAAAGATTCTTTGATTGGAATGAAAGCGGATTGGAATTGAATGATATGTTCTAGCTCGATTTTTAAATTACAAATATTACCCTTGATAATGTAAAGATAAATTTTAATGAAGGGATAAAACTGCCAAAAAAAACGTTAAGAATTGAATGTTTGCACGAAATTGAGTACTTGTTAGGAATTAATGGATAAATGTGCTAGTATAATTTTGTTCCATGTTGCCATCTTCTTCGGAGATGAGTTTTGTCAATGAGACTTGTGTATATTTTGATAAATGCAGATATGGATATCAAGTACAAGCAAATTCTTGAAGAATGGGAATTGGATCCTAAGGTCAAATGTGTTCTGATCGAGGGCAGTTCACCGCGTGCCTTTTGTGCAGGTACTTGAAGAAAAATTAAGGCTTCTTCTTGGCAGGGAAAATATACTTTCAAATAGCATATATAGATGCTGTTTGTAATGAAAAATGTGTATTTATATCCTTGTAGGCTATTTTCACGTTGCTAGTGTTAGGGGAGTTTTTGGGGCTAACCGTTGATGGGTAATGCAGGAATGGATATTAAAGGTGTTGTTGCTGAAATCCAAAAGGACAGAAACACACCTCTTGTGCCAAAGGTTTCCTTTTCCTTCCATTTGTAAATGCATGCCTTGTGCGACAAGTGTTTCCTGCAAGTTTGCTTAATATTTTTGGTAGTTCTTGTCATGTCCACTGTTGCAAGCTATAAGTTGTTTGCCTTCCCTTTCCATTTTTTTTTCTTTTGGGCGGGGTAAGGTGGATATCCTTGTAGTTCTATTTTTTCTTATTCTTTTATGATTGGGTTCAATGTGGTGTTTCTTTAAATTAAACTCCTCAATGCTTCCATATTTGATAACTTAGATCTTAGCTTATATGCAGGTGGTGATGTGAAGCAGATTACATACAAAAACACACTCTCGGATATGATTGAGGTTAAATTATATACCATTATAATCATAAACTTTTGCAATTTGCTAAAATAAAGTCAACAGAAGATGTCTATCATGTTTGTCCAAACATGGAATACAACCATCACCATGGCATGACACCATCACCATGGCATGACATAATCAAGCTTCCAAAAACCATTTATGATTGTTCATATCAGTGTCAGTAAAGCGCTATCCATTTCATTATGATGGAAAAGAAAAGAAAATGGAACCATTATTACTTTATGATTCTCAATTTGAAACCCCGCCACCCATGTTATCTGTTCATATCTCCTACAACTAATTTTATGCAATTCTGAAACCTCAACCATGCATAAGTGTGGGGCTATGTGGACTCCATATAAATCCCTTGTGGGCACAAACGGTGGGGATGGTTTGGATCAAATAATTGTACTTGATGTTATTCTATTTTCTTTTTGAGAAAGAGGGAGAGGAAAGAAAATCTTTGATGCTTACATGTAATTATGACTTGCATAATGTATATCATAAATTTTCCTCTATAGTTGCTTTGTTTGTTTTCCAAATGAAATTAGCTTTTGCTCATAGCAATAGGAGCATGTTTAAATTTTATCTATTCAGCTGTAGGTGCTTTGCAGTTTTAACTTTTAATATATATTTGAAATCTTTTATCTTGTAAATGTGTGAAAATTGTGAATGATTTATTGTTACATGTCCAAGATGTAGTTGACATGATAAGATGTTATCATGGTAGTTCTGCAGTCTGCAAACTATTTTTCTGCATTGCCATCACTAGATTATAGTTTGGGTGATTTCCTCATATGTGCATGATGTGTTTGTTGGATTAGATGCCATTCCTTACAAGGGTGTCATCTGGTTATGCTGTGCTTCATCTCATTATTGTCCCATCAGTTGGTGCCTTACATGTTGCGCTGTCCTCTGAAGTTAATAGCCTTATTATGTTTCTTTTTTCCAGGTCTTCACTGCTGAGTATTCTCTAATATGCAAAATTTCGGAGTACAGGAAGCCTTATATATCATTCATGGATGGCATAACAATGGGCTTTGGAATTGGCCTATCTGGCCATGGTCGCTACAGAGTGGTAACTGAGGTACAAACTAATTTCCTTGCTGTGTAGAGAAATATTTGGTCTTACATTTTGAACTATAAAAGCTTTACATATTTTGTTCTCTCATGTTTTGCTCTTGCATAAATCTGGGTCAGAGGACTGTCCTTGCTATGCCAGAAAATGGAATTGGTTTGTTTCCTGATGTTGGGTTCTCATACATAGCAGCCCAAACACCAGGAGGGGGTTCTGTTGGTATGGTTCTTTTACTCTATATCTAAGCTCAAAGAGTTGAAAAAAAAAATGGTTTAAAAAGCTATGTTAATAGGATGCTATGGGTTAAACCAGAAGCACCAGGATTGAAGTGGGACGGTAGTAGGGTTAGTTCTAATCTTATAAGTGCTTTAAAATTTTTTTGGAGATGCTGAATCCTTATAGCTAAACTCATTCAATTATACACACGTGCAGTGCACTTTTGCACAAATATCAATTCAGGTCTATTGCTCTTTTCAGCTCACTCTATGTTGCTTTGCTCTACTTTTGTTGTTTACAATTTTGAGTTCTGCAGGTGCTTATCTTGGATTGACTGGAAAAAGGATATCAACACCTTCAGATGCACTATATGTGGGTCTTGGAACACACTATGTGCCATCTGGGAATTTAGTTTCACTGAAGGAGGCCCTTCTAGCCAGTACCTTGTATATCTCTAATCTTCTTTCTAGATTGAGAACTTTCACTTTTGAGTGGAAATCATTTTTAGGATCTTATACTTCTCTTTCCAGTTGCTCACTGTTAAATTAAATTGTGACAACTTACAAATGGCTCTAAAAGTGAGTGTTTCACCTACAATTCTCTTTACTACAATCCTGCAAGTGCCCAATCACAATAAAGAGTTCTGTAGGGATCCACCACTTATAAGTGTGGGCTCATATAAAATTTTATGGAGCCCACATAATTTGAACTGTGATTGGATAATTGTAGTGTAATAATTGTAGGTGATATGCTCCCATCTAAAATGGGGGGAAAAGTAATCATGACTTGACATTCCAAATCAAATCAGCTTTGTGAAAAGTGTGAAATCTATGCCTTTAAAATTTTAGTTTTAGGACGACTGTTGCTTGATGTCTCCATGGTGGGAGGTCCTATCTGCAAATATGAACTTCAACTCTTCAATGTACTTGGTTTTTATTGTATTTCATCTTGCAGCTTGCAATGCAGTTTCCTCCCATTTTCTTAATAAAATGTTTTTGATTTGTTTTCTTCTCTTCTGCAAATTGTACAAATATTCATGGTCTTCTTCCTGTAAAATCGTAAATGATATGTTTATTATCCACACAGTTCTGAGGATCCTCACAAGGATGTTACAGCACTGTTGGCAAAATATAGCAGTAACCCGGAGTCTGAAGCTTACTTGAAGTTGTTTTTGCCTCAGATAACTTCATGCTTCTGTGCGGATAAGTCAGTTAAGGAGATAATTGAAGAGCTTAAAAAACATCAGCAGAGTACAGAAGCTTCAGGTGAGCTTAATTAAAACTGGTGAATCAAAACATTAAAATTAACTGCATGTGCATCATTATTGTGCTCCCTCAAAAATTTTTTTCTTGTGGATGTTGGTGGATGATACTGAAGCCATCGATTTAGATATATTTACATAATTTCTTTCTGCAGTTGTAGAATGGGCAAATGATGCTCTGCAGGGTCTTGGAAAGGGTGCTCCCTTTTCTCTTTGCTTAACACGAAACTATTTCTCGAGAGTTGCATCTGGATATGGTAAACATGGCAATGAATTTACAACGGTGAGTTTGGAGATGCATTTTTTCAACTGCCTTCCTCCACCTGATAAATTTCTTTGTCTTGTTTCATTTTCTAGGAAAATTGCCGCTCCAGTAGCATGAGTTTTGAAAACTGAATTTTTGTTGCATTTATCATGTCCAGCTAAACGGTGTTATGAAAACTGAATATCACATTGCCTTACGGTCTTCTCTGCGAAATGATTTTGCTGAAGGTGTTCGGGCAGTCCTGGTTGACAAGGATCAGGTTAGCTCTTCATGCTTCTGCTCCTCTTCTCCACATGATAGAAGATCTTCCCCTTGCTAGGATTATATTTTAATATTACTAAAAAATATGTTAACATATCTTTAGCTTTTCTCTTCCCTTTTATTCTTCCACTCTTTAAAATCTGGATGATATCCAAATAAGTTGAATTTATTTCTTTAGAAAGTTTGTCCATGCATTTGTAACGTGTACACTTGTCTGTGTCTGGATGTCCATGTTCCTCTATGCTTCTGGTTCTGGGTTTTATTCTTATTTGCGTTCAGGACTTTAAAGATCATGTTAAGTTTCCTTACCACTGGCACGCATCTTTATTTTGTTAATAGTTTTGACTCTTTTATGTCTTTGCAGAATCCAAAGTGGAACCCTCCAAGCTTGGACGAAGTTAACCAAAGGGAAGTGGAGGCACTTTTTGAACCATTAGGTCCAGGAATTGAAGAGTTGAAAGTGTAAGTTTCGCACTCCACATATCAGCTTGTCTCTCTGTGTTTTGCTGGGAGGATGAATGGATCATACTCGTGGAAATACAAATTTGGAGCGGAAGAAATAAATAAAGATGATTTGGCATGAAAGCATGTTGCATTCTGATACTGTTATATACTTGGACAACACTTATGGCTTTAAAAATATTATGATCCTAAAGCACAATCATGATTCCTAGAATGTTTGCTTTTGACAGCCAATACTATGATCAAATCCTTTGTATGTTACAAGCAGTTTAAGACACCGTGAAAATGTTGTGCGTTCGGTGTTTGAGGTGCGAGAAAAGAAAAAGAAAGACACTAAAAATTTCCTGGAATGACGGTCTACTTTCTTCTGTAACGGAATGAATGCAGCATTCTTTTGTAACCTAAATATAAAATGACTGCGAAAAGCTGGTAAAAATGTTGGGACTTTTAGTTCCATCAGAGTCTCAGATACCAAAAAATATGTACATATATAAGATGGCTTTGGCTTTTGATGTCTTTTACAGGAAAATATATTTAGGAGCAATCTCCGCTCTTCAAACTTTGTAGAAGATCCAAATATCCAAAATATTCAGGAGTTATATACCTGCAATGATTAGAAACAAAATCACCCTGTCTTAGAGTTGAAACAAACAGGAAGCAAGGCAAATTGTCCTTTGCACCAGAGTGCACATAAATTGTAATGTAACGGAGGAGAAGATAATACCCATGTCGAAAAAGGAAATCAATTATGACAATGTTGCAATTTGACTTGAAAAAATGTGTCCTTTTTATGACATTAGCAACATGTCTCACAGGAATCAACTTGAAGCTTTCTACCTCTCCATCTGCCACATGTCAAGTCATGAAAGGTTGAGATGATTATCAAAAACATCAAAGGTGATAAGTTATCTCGAAGTATTATCAATCTGATAAAAACCTACGAATCAGTTGACATATTAACAAAATTTGAACTTTGTCCAATGAATGTTCACAGAAAGTAGAGTCATGCTTCCATGTGCATGCCTTGATTATTTGGTATAAAACCTTCAGGGAGTTTTAAATCATAACAAAATAGGACATCCCGCTTGAATCTATGCCCGTCAATATCTGAATAGGAAACAGCACCAACCGGTATAGCTCTGTATGAGGAACACAAACAGTTCAGAGCCCTTCAATAATGAGAACTGTAAAATTAAACAGGGGAAGAGGGGGAGAGAATAGATATGCCTATCAAAACCAACTGCATCAAGCCTAGGGTTGGCAGCCCAACCTGAGCCCGGCAAATTTCGACCCAACCTCATGAGGTCGATTTTTTTTTTTTTTTTGAAAATCGGGTTTCAGGTCGAATCGGATATTACTAAGAAAAAATTTGAGGTCGGGTCGGGTTTTAGGCAAACCCGACCTGACCCGATACTATATTAAAAATTGTTTTTTAATTTTAATTTATACAATTATATAATTATATTTAAAAAATAATATTTTATATTTTAAAATATATATTTTATTAATTTCGGATCGGATATGGTTTATGCAATATTGGGTTTCGTGCATTAAAATATTTAAAAAAATTCGGGTCGGGTACGTCAACGGGTTTTATGATTGTAAAAATTGGGTTGGGTCGGGGCGAGCAAAAGCCCACCCTGTCCCGACCCGTTGCCAACCCTAATCAAGCCACCAACAATGTCCTATCAAGGATCAACTTCCAAGCCAATATAGGACATGCAAGATATAACAACACATGAAATAAAGAGTCAAAATGGCTGGAAAATTTTACCTACTGGATAAGGATCTTGGTATTCCAGCTTCCTCTTCACATTCCTTCATAAGATTCTCCCCACATGCAATTCCATGAGACTACAATCATCAACAAAGAAATTTGGCTAAATAAGGGTAATAGGAACTAGCATAAAAGGTTGAAAATGAAAATAGCCTGTAATTTTATTCTGAAGTAGTTTTAATTTCCCACTTTTCACCATGATTTTCATGATAAGCTGTATGGAGGTTTGTGTTTTGTTTCAGCTTTTCACCACCAAAGAAGTTACCAAATTGTCTTAATTGTATTATGAAATCAAAAAACAAGTGACATAAAAAAAGCTTCCCTGCTTTTCCTAACTATTGAAAACTCCATAGAACCATCTTCTTGACTTTCATTAGGCAAACATACAGACAGATTTACCCTCCACTTATTCCAGGAATACGTCTTTTCAAAATGGAGAGTGAGGTTCATAAGCATAAGCAGACAGGGATAATCCATTTGCAAAATGAAAATTTTCATCATTATGAATTTAGTTTGTACTTCACACATAACTCACGGATGTTAACTCTTCTAGTATGACACAGTAAAGAAGTAGGGTTTCACAAACCAGTCCTCCAGCAACTAGGTGATCAAGCATTCCAGGAAAAGTAGGCTTCACTGGACTTCTCTTCCCTATCCATAGAAATTTTTGCCCATCTTTTTCAACATAGCCATTCATGTGAACGCCATAAGCCTATGATTTAACAAAAGAAACATTTCAGCTTCTAATATTGTGCAAAGTTTCAGGGATGGAAGATAGCTGATAGCATCCCAATATGCAAATTCTACAGGGAAAAAAATGAAAGTAATTCTGTGCCACAGCTCACAGTCATAAAACACACCTTTATTCCAAAATAAGGTGCAGCAGCACGTTCGAGGGAGAAAAAGACCGGTGCACCAAACAATAAAGTCACAGGGTACAACTGTTTAACACATTTGAAGAAAATCTCTACTTAACAAAAGTTAACTCCAAGGAGCTTCAATCAATTGAATTAGAAATATATATTGGGTGCTCCTAAAAAGAAAAGGGGAATTTATTCCAGCATGTGAAAACTAAAAACACACATAAAAACGAGACCCAATTTCTTAGTCCTTACAGTCAATTTCAAGTAGTACCTCATTCCTTATACCTGGGATCAATTCTTTTTCAGCCAAGCATTTGATCACTTCTCCTACAGCTCTAGTTCTATCCTCTGCTGATTTTAACATTCGATGTAACGTTACTTGACCTCCATCACAATTATCTTTAGATACTACAAACACATTCTGAAAACTCCTTAAGTTTTCAGCAAAACTGCACATAATTTAAAACAAAATTCTAATTAGCCCAACATATTCTCTTTAATTCACATTTATATACATTTAAAATGCTTAAATAAAACCCAGAGCTTAGCTCAGTTGGTTCATCAACCACTCTTCATAAGTTTCAAATACTAACATCAGTAATCCCTTCCGCGCTTGGCTTCCTTTATACCAAAAAAATGCCTAAACATGATTAAGATATTGTTTAGTGTAATAATTACTATAAAATAACGAAAAACTTTACCTTCTATGTATGTAACCAACAATTTGGTCTTCGATAACAAAGGGCAGGAACTGAGATTGCAATTCCTGTAATTACGAACAATTAAATGACCATGATAAAAGGATTGCTCTGTTTGGTTGCCGGGAAAAGTTTTTTATAGATTCAAAAACAAACTGGAAGTTAAAATTCTTTTGAAAAGAAGAAAATGGAAGAGGAAGAGATGCTTACGGAGCCACGATTGCATGCTTTGATTTTATCGAAGAAGCCTCGGAGATCGGCAGAATCGTGGGGGTTAAACTCGGGTTGAGAGGCTCGATCGACGTCTTCCCAAGAGAAAGTCGTTGGGGTAGTAACGGCAGCAGCTGTAGTTGAAGCTGATAGAGAACGGGAATTGGAGGATTTGATTGGATAGAAAGCAGAGCAACGGAGCGGAAATGCGGTTGTTGAACTGTTGGGAAAAGCGTGAAGGGAATTGGCGGTGCGGAAAGATGAGATCGAGAGTCGGATTTTGTGAGAGAGGTGGTAAGCATTCCAGGCCATTTCACCGCGAACAGCGAAGCAAGCGGGCAAGAGATAAACCCGCCCCGGTTGGGATGGTGAGAAAGTGGAAAATGGTAAAGGTTGCCGAACAACGTCACTTTTAGTTTTTAACATCTTTCTTAAAGGATGCGTTTGGTTCTTTTGGTCGCTAAATGAAAATTGCTCGGTTGACTATTTTAATGTTATAAAAAATAAATTAATTTAAGGTTTGAATCTTTGAAGGTAGGTTACTTTTCTTAACTTTATATTTAATTTAATTGATATATATAATTTTAATTAAAAGTTAATATCTAATATATTTTAAATTTAAATTTTAACACAAAATTTTTATATATAAATATGTAGGGAGTTTCCAGAAAAATATATAAGAAAAATCCACTTTTTTTTAAAATTATTCTAATTACAACAAAAGATTTTATAAGATTTAACTATTAAAAAGATATATATTTTTTATATTAATATAAGTGAATCACTTTTCATATATATATACTTATTTTTCTTAAAGTAATTAAAGAGAAAATAAATGACTTGTGAAATTTATATATCAATATTTTTACGGGTTATTAAATTATATAATTTGAGATAATATTTTTTTTTATTTTAACAATTTTGAGCTTTAAAATCCTGATTTTCAAATTTAAATGTTAACTTTTAAGGATTGGTGTTTTTCTTTGAGTTATTTTTTTAATATTAATTTAGAAACATAATCAAGTATCAATCTTTTAATATAACAAGAAGGTATTAAATTTTTTTTTTTTCATTTTTTAAGATGTATTTAGAAGAGATGAAAGAAAACATGGCAAAAAAAGAAATTTATAAACTAGTGATTAAAAACATTGAATATCCTTCTGTATTTAAATGAGGAAATTTTCATACCTCGTGCTTTTTTTTTCTTGTTCCAAACGCGACCTTTGGTCATTTTTCAAAATCAAGAGCAACTGTTCTAGATTGCGGCATTTAGCGCTTTAGGCCCAATCGTCAATTCTCCGATGGAAACGGCATTCAAAGCATATATTTCTTTTCCTTTTGGAGGAAACATTAAGCAGTCGTCTTTACTCTCTTTCGTGACTCGCATTTTCTTTTGCTTTAGCTTTATCTTCAGCTTCAGCTTCAAAAGAGTTCCCTTCTCCATAAATCGCTTATTCACGAGTCTTCCCGATTTCATACCCGGTTCATCAACGTTACCGCGGCTTCTCCTCCCTCTCTGTCACCGCCCAATCAGAATCTTTCCCGCATGATTACGTGTCAGAGCATGTCTTGCTCTTCCCAAACCTCTCTCCCAACTCTGCAAACCGTCACCATATCTTTTTCCCAACTCAAGGTAAGTTCTAGCCAGCTTTTTGCTTCGCCTACGCGGGACTTCGCTGAGTTGACTCGTTTGAATGGAATTTCAAACAGAATTGACCGTAATCATGTGTTCTGAATTGTTAGCTTCATTTCATTTTCTTGCAGTTTCTTAGAGTTGATGACGTGTTATTTTAAACTAAATTGTTGTATTTTGTGTATACTTATCTGCACATGTCAGATTTTTTTAGTATTATTTTCTTTCTCGTTTATCGAAATGGATTGAAACAGGACAAGGATGCTGATCTGTCGATGAAAATTAAAGAAGGAGTTGGACCGAATGGACTTGGAATTCTATCAATTACAGATGTATGAACTTTATTATTATTATTATTTTTTGCAAAAGGTTAAACTCTCATACACATATTTTCATCAATCGAATCTTTGTTAGAGTAAAAATGGTTAACTGTGCTTAATTGGTTGAAAATAAATGTATAAGGGTTCAATTGGATGAAAATAAATGTTTGAGGATTCAATTTGAAATAGAAGACTTAGGATTTGATTGATTGTAATAAAATATCAAAAATTTAAATGATTATTGAATTTTTGCTTGAGAGTTTTTTTGACCCTTACGGTTTTTTTTTTTTTCTTATGCAGAAATTTGTTTGCTGATGACACGATGCTTGATTGATTTTCGTAGGCAATTAGTTTCTTTAACATGTTTTGATTTTCTTTTTCTTTTTTTTTCTTATCTTTGTATTTTTAATCATTATTACAGGTTCCAGAATTTCCTTCATTGCGTCAAAATCTTCTACGCCTTTCACCTAGGTATAATTTGAGCTTCAAAAAGAAATTTTCTCAGGACTCATGATTGAAGAAAATTGAAAAAATATTCTATAAATTTCCTTCCCTTTTAACAGATTAGCTGGCCTGCCTGAAGAGGTGAAGAAGGAACTTGAGGATCCTCAGAGTAGGTAATATTTTTGCTGAATTTTTTCTAATAGAAATGTTCTTATTGTTCCTTCGGGAATTTAATTAGGATGTTAATGCTATTCTTCTGTTTGTTAAAAATGCATATGACTATTATTCTTAAAAGATATTATCATGGTATCATGCTTGGATTACATTGCAGAGTTGCCTTTACGCCATGTTCCTTTTAACCACTCTTTATCTATAGGTACAGTTTTGGATGGAGTCATGGGAAAGAGCAGCTTGAGTCTGGGAAACCTGGTAAATGTTTACACACTTTGAATCTTACAACTTGACATGATTAAACGCAAATCATTAGCATGCAGTTTACACCTTTCTTTATATTTGTATATAATCGTAACCAAATAGCTAATATAAAGTAGGTGCTTATGTCACGGGCCGAGACTCAATCTTCAGGCTCGTATGGCTCCAGGACTTGGACATAGACTCATCTGACGTCCCAAATCAGCCTAACTGTCACGGTCACACCCTTGTGAGGTATTGTTTGCTTCGGCCCTCCTTGGCCTCACGGTTTTGTCTCACAAAATGCACCCTACAAGGAAATGGTGGTGTGAACCCTTATATTCCATGACCAACTCTTGTGCACAGCCGATGTGAGATTCATGGCTCATCTTTAGGACCGCAATACTTACACTTTAGTTGAACTCAACACGCTAAAACATGTTAAACTGCTTATAAACATCAACCTTGTGCAAATGGCCTCTTTGTTTGCAGGAAAGTATGGCCTTCTTTTCTTGTTCTTCCTCAAGTGCCAACATTTATGGGAACTATCTTCTTTCTGCTTCACATAATTGTAAAATCATGCTCCTAAGTTACAGGCAGAAATAAAAGACGCTTGTTTTGAGAAATACTGCACAAAATGGATTAAGGAAGGGATTGAGTGAAATTTTGCTAAAGATATGATCAATTCTAAGTTACATTCAGAGGAGAAAGACTCTTTCAATTTGTTTGATGTCAGATCTCAAACAAAACTTAAGAGACTTAAGTGGTCTATACTTGTTGCAGGGTTTTAGATCCTGTGTGTTTCTTCTGTACATGAAGTGGTGGAAGTCCCTTGAAAATGTCTGCTTCTTCCTATATAGTTGATTTTGATATTGGGTTTATTTTATGCTTGAATTGTGTTGCTTTTTCTTCTTGGGTGCTTTAATTTTTTCCCCATTCAATGATTTCAATTTGTTTCTCTTTAATGCTTAGCAGATCTGCTGAAAGGTTCGTTCTATGCAAATCCACTAATTGATGTGCCTACAATGGATGCATACTTGATTGAGAGGTAAAAGAGGAAAGGAACATTAATGAGTGCCATATTTGCTTTTTCCTTATGTAGCATTGTCTTTGGTTGGCACAGAGACTGGCTCCCATTGTTCCTTTTTATCTCTGTAGACCCATATATATAGACTATGCCATACGTGATTGTGCTTAGATGTAGATTTGGTCACCCATCCTCTGCCTTGTAGGTATCCATCAAATTGTGGAGCAAATATATGGCCTCAGGTTGCTTTGCCAGAACTTGAAGTGGATATGTTCACATTTTTTAGAAAAATAATGGAATGTAAGCATGTTTTGATCTTTTGGTAAGTTATGGATTGCTCTATAGAAGTAATATCAATGTTGTTATTTATTTTGTCTTCAAGTTCTATTTATATTTCGTCTGACATAGGATTTTCTGAATGCTGATTATTGACCTCTACTCCTCCAGCTTTCAAAGCTCTGGGAAAGCTGATCTTTGATGTTGGGTTGGCGGTGGCACATCACTGTGATCAATATGGTAAATTCCCCTAGAATTCCAGCTTTAAAGTACAGAATTTGAAAATGAATAGTTGCATTTCTAGACCTAAATATACATACCAGCTTCATTGACAGATCATCAGTCTTTTATAGTTGAGATTAGACCTTTGAAAATCCAGGGATGACCCTATTTCAATATTTTGAATTTTATACTTTTAGTGTTGACCCTAAACCACGATGCATGAACTGTATCGAGCCTAATCCTGTTAAATAAATTGCTACTGTCGTTTCTTGATTCTATTACAAACATTTATCTTGAACAGAAACAAGGTCTTTTTGTTAAATCATCCCTTCAAATTAAATCTATAGAGTGGACAAATTATTCATTAACAGATTTCCGTAATGGGTTACTCTTTCACTTTATGATTACATGAGCAGTATCTAGGGGGATGAAAATACACTAGGAGGAAGGCCTTGAACAAATGCTTCTTCGCTCTCGTTGTCATAAAGGCCGTTTGCTTTATTACTTTCCTTCTCAACTGAGGTTTTCTTCCCTAGTAGATATCTGGTTACATTTATTTTTCACAATTGAATGGTTAATGCTCTCTCTAGAATGTATTGAGTAAAATATGACATACTTGCAGTAATCATGAAGAAAATGGTGACACCGTGTCATCTTGGTGTGGATGACATAGCGATTATGGCTTACTAACAGGTGATGTCTCATCTTATTAATTTTCTCGCTTGAGCTTATTGGCTACCTCATTCTTAACACCCCACTTTATATCAATTGAAAGAATTGATTAATGAAGTCCTTGCTAATCTATTTATGCCTGTTTGACTTAATTAACCCATTTTGTCGATATTGTTCTGTCTAGCTTTTTTACTAATAATTTAGGAAGTAATATTTATAATGAAAAAAAAAAAAAACTTGTTATCCAAATTTGGATAATTAGGTGGCATAGCAGAAAACAGGAAAACCGGAATCATTTAGCGTTGCTTTCAAGGCATGCATGTCAAGATGAATCCACCCTACAAGGTGCAATGAAATGGATCCACTTCATTTACTGAAAAATGTAGATAAGCCTATTTCAGACATCAAGACAAGTTAAATCACTATGGTGGTATAATGTTAGTTCAAATATACAGTCAAATACCATATTTTAAACTTCAAAAAGTATCGACGACCTTTCATGGGCTAGAAACAAGGATGTTTCTGATGTAAAGCACATCTTGCT